TATAAAGTCCAGTTAGCCTCACTGTATGTTAATTTGCGATGAGCATTTACTCGATACCATTAAGTATGCTTAGAGCATATTAAGTTACCGCAGTAAAGATTATTGCAAATGTCAGTAAAGATATAAATGGATGCATCATCTCTGCTGCTTGCTGTTGGGTTCCCAGAAGCATCCGAGGGTCAGCAACTCAGCTGTCTGCTATTCCATTTTCTAAGGTGGTGCAGAGTGGAGCTGCTGTGCCCTGCAGCGCTGCGCAGTCCTCATGGTTGGGTCAGTTCTCCTCCACTTAAGCAAAGCCTTCAGTCATCTCTTGAGCTGTTCCAGAGGACTGATGTCATGGAGTGTTCCCAACATTGAACTCTGCTGAGGTGGGTGGGCACTCTGGGGAGGAGCAGGCACCCAAGTGGAGTGTCACTGTGCCAGGCGCTGCCAGCCTCACCTTCAGGCAGTAGTGATGTGTTGATGGTGGACAGTCAAGAGTGGTAATGCCGTAGGGGAAGATATTCTGTGAGCTGCAGTGTTTGATTTTTGTTCTGAGAAAGATGGGCTGCTCAATGAAAGGCAGTTACCATTAACATGTCAAAATCTGTCAGGGTTACCTCTAACATCAGAACTCCAACCCTTCTTTGCACGTAGCTGTCTGATGCACCAGGCTTTCCACCACGGGCAGGTGGTTGCTGGGTTACTGCTTGGTCCTGGCTGAGGTGAGATGAGCGATAAGTCAGTGGGATTCTTAGCATGAGAGAATACCTGCCATTCCTTCTCAAAGGAAAAGGAATCAGCAACAGCAGTACTCCGTAAGAGAGAAAAACAGTAATTTCTAATTATCATTCAACTCATTGCTTATCCTGAAGCATTCTTTTCAAGGAGGAACCGTCTCACGGGTCAGGTCACACTTGTTGTGGGGTGGGGAGAGGCTGCTCGCAGAGTGTGCTGCCCTTACTGCAGGGCTGGGGACACAGAGAGGCAGGCAGGAGCCTGGTGCAGCATGTTGGCTGTGCCTGTGTCTGAAGTACTTCCACATCCCTAGAGCAGTAATGCTCCCTGCTTTCGTTCTCTGATGATTTGAGTATTAATTTACTTCCTGTGATTATTAAATGTGTATGTGCAGCCTATGGCTTTTTCCTTCCCTTTTGCGTGTGATGTGCGAGCAAAGGAAGACGGTAACAGTCTCTAGGGATGTGTACAGCTCTCCATATCTGAAGTATGAAGTCAACTCAGGACCATTTTGTTCTCATAAAATATACAGCACTGCAGTTTAATGGATGACGGCGTAAATGCCGAGATTTGATGGGCAGAGCCATTTTCACTGGGTGATGGAACGGGCTGAAGACTCTGCGTCGGCCAGGAGATGGGTAGGACTGCAGAAGCGATGCTGGGTGTGCTGTGTGCCAACACCCAGCGAGCACGCTGAGCTGTAATGAAGTCTTAGAGCAGATGAGATTATTTTTTTAAGTACTGATGAGTAGGTTGGAGCATCTTGCAGAAGGCAATTCCTCTCCATTAGATATGTGGTTTTCTCTATTTTTTTTCCACAGTATTCGGTGTGATGGAGAAGATAGTTTCTCCTCAGGCCACCACGCTCAGGCTCCGTGTTTGGCACACGAGGCAGCCGAGCAGCCCCAGCTGCAGCGCAGACAGTGCAGGGCAGCACTGTGCCTTCAGCTCCTGCTCTAGGGATGCTCTGCGCCGCTTTGTTTTTAGCACTCGGGCGGAAAACTTTGCAGAGCAGCAACCAGGCCAAGAAAACTGCAGGAGAAGGAATGCATCATTTCAGAAACTCAGCCGTCCCTAGCTGCCCGCCCGCTTTGCCGGTTGCAGGTAGCCGAGAGCCCACCCGCGGCCCGAGAACTTCCCTACACTTGAGTAGTAGCGGAGGGGGGCGCAGGTGCGTGGCCGTGCGGCGAGCGCTCGGTAACAGGTGTGCTCCCGGAGGGCTCCCGCAGCGGGGCGTCTGTTTCCACCCCTCCCTTCCTGGGGCTGCGCGGGGCGCTGCGGGGGCGGTGCGACGTCCCTGGGAAGCCGCAGCGGCGCTGCCTTCCGCGGCCTTGGCACCGCGCGGCCCCTCGCGATTCAAGCCGCGTTACACAATTGTTGGATGCGGCTGGTGCACCTCCGGCCTCCTCCAAGCCGCTCGGCTCTATTGTTTAGGCAGTAGAGGGTATTTTTGCATTTTTTTTAACCCCCCTCTCCTCGCCCCCCCCCCCCGACAAACTGTAGCGCGTTTCTAATAATTCTAAAATTAACCGCACTTTTGAAGGACTAATTGGTGTCCGCGGCAGGCAGCTGTGTCAGAGCGACGGCCGAGCCGGGGGCGGCGGGCTCATTATCATTAGTGGGAACGAGCTCGCTCGCCGCCGCCGGGAGCCCCGCGGGGCCGGGCTCGGGGGAAGGCCCCGACGGCGCGGGGAGGGGCGGCGGGCGCGGGGCTCCCGGCCCGCAGTGCCGCGGCAAGGCGGCTGCGGGGGCGGGCGGAGGGAGGAGGGACGGCGGGAGGAGGGACGGGGCGGGCGCCGGGTGAAGGGAGAGAGGGAGGGGAGACGGGAGGGAGCCGGCTCCGCGCCGCGCAGCATCGGGCCGAGCGCTGCCGAGCCGAGCCGCCCTAGTGCCCGCCGCCGCCGCCGCGGCCGAGCATGTCGGGGCGGGAGGCGGTGAGCTACCTGCCGGAGAAGGGGCTGTACTGCCAGCGCCTGCCCGGCCGCCGAGCGCGAAAGGGAAAGCGCGCCGACACCATGGGCTTCTACGGCACCCTCAAGATGATCTTCTACAAAGTGAGTACCCCGCGCCGCGCGTCCCCGCCCGAGGGCTGCAGTGCGCAGGGACGCGGCGGGGCGGCTCGCTGCCTGCGTGCTGCCTGCATGCTGCTTGCATGCCGCCTGCCCGCCGAGCCGCGCCGGTCCGCCCTCCTCTCGCACCGCAGTCCCAGTTATCGCAGCGAACGGCGTCGGAGGGACCTGCGCTTTCCTGGCGGCCGCCTGCGCGCTCGCGGGGACACGCAGCCCTTCCGCAGTTCCTTTCTGGCGGTTGCAGCAATGCCTCCCCTGGCCGCGTCTTGCCGCCGGAGCTCCCGGCTGCAGAGAAAGTTTTATCATCTCCATGTGCTAAATGACGGTTTTCACGCGTATTTGTGTAGCGCCTCCTGAGATGCTGAAGTCTGCCCGTGCGGCGGACCCGAGGGGAAAGTTCCTTAAAATGCCGGAAAATAAGGCGAGAAAGAGGTTGTTGAAATCGTTAGGCAAACGGCCGTGGAACCATACGTAAGAATCGCACGTTGTTTCCGTTGCTACCGCGAAGGAGTGAGTCTGGGTAGCCGCTCGCCGTGCTGCGGGCTCCGTACTCGGTGCTGGTGAGGTGAGCTCCCAGAAACCGCGTCTCCCTCTGCTGCGAGCCCGAGAGCGGTGCGTTTGGAGCCTGTCAGAAAGGTAGTTTCCTTCCCCACGAAAAGCCCTTTCTGAAAAGTCCGTCCGTCCTAAAGCCTCTCGCGTACGCGCCGGTTGGCCTGGCACAGCCATGGAAGACGGTACCGGTGGTTTTGCGGCGATGCTCGCAGCCCGTCTCCAGGGGAAGCCCGGGGGCTGCTCCTCCCAGGCGCTGGGGGTAGGAGCGGCGCGGGGAGGCTGGCGGTTTGGCAGCGCCCGAGGCGTCCTGGTCCGCGCTGCCATCGTGACACGCTGCGCCGTCCCGCGTGGGCACGGCGGGGATGCGGTGTGCGGTTGCGGGCAGCTCTCCCCAGCTTCCTGCCTCCTTAACCAACCGCCAGCCACGCCGTCTGCAATGGCTGTTTGTTTAGGGAAAGTAAAAAAAAAAAAAAAAAAAAAAAAAAAAAAAGGAGGACCATCCTGATTGGATTTTGATTTGTTTTTACTAGGAGGGCTGATGGAAGAAATGGTTAAATAACCATGAAGTAACACAGTATTTATAAAGATTGGATCAGCATCGTATGTAAGATGCTAACTTTTAAACCCTGTGTTTTGAATGTAACATTTAGAGGGGAAGAAAAAAAAAGAAAAAGATGAAAACGTTGAAATTGAAGTCTTAGTTGTTGCACAGGTAGTTAACGCGTTTTGCAGCTCACAGATCTGAACAGCAGTTAGTATCCTTCTGCTGGCTAAAGTGCTCAAGTGCATTGCTTCTTCAAAAATTAAAGCAACAAAACCCACAGAAACTGTTCAGCACAGCAGCATCTCACTGGGTCCAGGAGCCTGTGGTTACAGATTACCCAAATACGTGGAAAGTAATCCTTGTTTGTCTGACTGGATAAATATGGCTTTCGTTGGTTTCCATCTCTCCGGTAATTTTTGCAGACCGGCTTCCCCTGTTAGCAGCTGCCCTGCTCATTATTTGGTTTTGATCAGATTTAATTGAGGGTGACATTCAGGAGCAAGATTTACTGCTTTTCATCCTTTCCCTTTTGGTGAAAATGTCTGTTACTCTCTGGGTTGGTTTTACTGCAGTTCCATGAATGTTATCATACTGCAACTTTAAAATAAAGGTGTGGATGAAATAAAACACATATTTGAATTTAGTTAGGCCTGACAGTGAATATTTGCTTTATAATGCTTACAGCTTAGGTAGAGTTTAACCATTTGCATGTGACTTTTAGTAGCGAATCTGAGCACAGAGAAGGAAAGGGGTTGGTTTAGGATTTCTCCTCCCCTCCCTGGAGAACAGAGAGGGACCAGCTCAGTAAATAAAGCGACGTGGAGTTACACACAGTTTTAAGCATTTGAAATGTGGGAATTAAAGGAATGTGATTCTAATGGGTTTTGGACCTCAGAGAGCATTTACGTATACATGCACCTTATAGAAAAACGTATCAAGTATCGTTAGCTAAAGCCAGAGACTTAAAACATTGTTTTGACTGATGTTCTGAGTGTCAACTTTGTTGAAATCTACTATTAAAGTACAAGTAGAAGCTGATTAATTTTACAGAAGTATGCATAAGTACGACCTGTCCTGTCGCTAAACCCCTCTTGTTACTCTTTTTCTTCACTTTGCAGATGAAGAGAAAGTTGGACCATGGCTCCGAGGTCCGTTCTTTCTCTCTGGGGAAGAAACCCTGCAAAGTCTCAGAATACACAAGGTAATTAATTTCAGTAACAGACCGCTGGTTCCACGATTCTTGGGTGTATCCATGTTTGCAATCGCTAAGCCTGGGTCATTGCTCCTCTTAACGCTAAAGCACTGCGGAGCAGAGGAAGGGTGGTATCAGTGTTTGTGTATTGCATAGCTAATTTAAATCACCCACACTGAAGATGAGTTCTAATGAAGTAGCCAGACTTGCACATTTGTTCGGTTGAGGTTTGTGTCTAATTCTAAATATAGCATGCCCGTTTACTTAGAGACTTTTCAGGGGCCGAAGCATTCGTGGGAATAAAATCAATCAGCCTGTTAAAAAGGGACATAATGATAAACCTAAAGACTATTACAAACTGTGATCAAATGTATCGCTTTGCTATGGCAACGGGAATGAGAGAATGGAAATTTATGTAGGCAGAGCAGACCATCTGATCTTAGTGGGAACACGTGTGTGCTTGCTATCCATGATGTGAAATTACAGAGGGCTCTGGAGTGCTGCTGTGCTCCTGCCCAGTGCCACATAGCACACAGTGTGCCCCTCACCCCAGTCAGACCTAAACAGGAGAGGCGGGCTGGCAGAGGAGGCCCTGGATGCACGTGGTACAACTGCAGCTCTTACTACGTAGTTGCCATAACAATTGTGCTCTCATGCTGCACTGCTTCCCGTTAGTTTTGAATTTACACAATTTACATGTTAAGCATTTTTTTCCCCTGTAAGAAGCATCTCCCCTCCTGCAAGCATTGTGCTCTCTTCCTAAATGCGTCTGGAGACGTTATTTTTGCACAATATGCTATTGTAGCATTCAACAACTGATAGATCTTTCAAAAGTAAACTGTATTTTATATCTCTTCCTTTAAGAGATTAGCCAGGTGTTGAGTGGAAAAGTTAGGACAGTGTGGGGAAACAGGTTCCCTAGTTGCTTTTCTGATACGTAAACACTGCAGCAGAGAAAGGGAGATGGTCCCTTGTTGCCCAGAAGAGCACGTATTGCAGTCTGTACCTCTCACAAGCTGTGGCTTCTCCAGGCTTTTCCGTTCTTCTCACAGCAAAGTGCTTTTGTTCACCCACCCGTTCTTTATGTGGCACATCGTTCTCTGCACTCATGTAAAAGCAAACAGTTCAGGAACAAGGAAAGCACGCTTTTTGTCACGTGTATCTGTCGCATTTAAAGGAAATGCTGCACTCACTCAGCTTCCACAGAAACCCGGCTGGCCTTTTCAGGTGGTTGAAAGCAAACAGAAAAAATAAAGTAGGACCAAAAATCTTGCGGTTTAATCTCAGGTCAGAGGAAAGACACTTTCAGGTCTTGCTTTGAATACCTGATTTTGAATGAGAACCAGTTTATCACAGAGAAATTAAAGTGTACCTGTTCTTCAGTGGCAGGCTCAAGGCTATGTAAGTGTTCAGATACACCATAATCCAAAGCTAAGAGCCTTATTCTGGAGCTGAAATGATAGGCCTTGGCATTGTCTCTTGTACAGGTGATGAGAACGAGTAGGCTGTAAATAGAGATTTTGTTTTAGAAAGATATTTTCTATTGTCATCGATTGGATTTTGTGTCATTATTGGCATAAAAGAATCCTTAAATAACATCTTATCCTCTCTTAAACTGTTCAATTGTATTTTCTGTAACAATGTTTAGGCAAATAATGTGGCTCTTGTGTCTGCTTTTTCATTTTCCCTGGGATCAGACGCTCTTTAACTTGGCAGGTCTGATGAACTTTGTTTGCATATACCAGGTAAAGCCAGTAAACGAGTGCCATTAAGAGGATCCCTGTTCTCTGAAACAGTATTTTTTATATCACATTATCTTTATGTTATTACTCAGTAAGATTAGCAGAAAAAAAAAAAAAAAGGCTATTGAAATCATTCTTTTCTTTTTCTTTACCTAATTGGGTAAATGGTAGACCACACTATGATTCTCCTTCAGAACAAGGAAGACTGAAGAGTGAAAAATGTGTAGATTTTGATGAGATAAATATGAAAATGAACCTGCTCTGCATCTTTGGGAGCTATTATTGTAGCCACTGAAATGTCAGTAAACCCCTGAAGCTCATACCTGCTGAAGAGTTGGGCTTATCATAAATAACAGGATTTTTTTTGGAGTCCCACAACTGCATTCAGAATTGTAATGTTTGTGAAATCACCATCCTACAGTTCCAGATTTCCTGCTGGGGAATACAATGTTGGCATTCTGTGAACAAAGTACTTTACATTATGTTAGGAAAAAAAAAAAAGATAACTCAGTCAGCTGTATTACAGTAGACTTCTACAATAGTAGCTTAATCCCAGCTCTTTTTTTTTTTTTTTATAAAACCCCATCCCATATGAATGAGCTGTTTTTTAATGTCAGACTGCAAAAAAACAAACTAATTCAGGGAGCACCTTTGGCTCCCCTTCACTTCAGCCCCCCTTTAGTTGCTGTGTCCTCCATCAACACACGAACTTTAAAACACTAATGAGTACTTCAGAGGCCAACTCAGTAACTAGGGCAGTGGAATTGTTTGATACTTGTAGCTCTCTGTCAACAGAACATATTAAGAGCTAACGATAGTTTTCTGTTTGTTGATGAAGCAGCAGTAGCATGTTACATGCAGATGAGACTCTTAACTGGCTCCCTACACTCCTGTCAGCCCAGTGAGGAAAAAAGCCCAGCCCAGAGGAAAAAAAGAAGTATATGACCCTGAATCCTTACGATAACATAGTGGGCAGTTGGTGGAGCAGCCATTTTTTGGCCCTGGCAGTTTAGTAGTGCAGCGGTGGAAATAAAATTTTGGGAGCAAGGGATGAGAAGGCATCAGAGAAACTGATGCCTTAGGCAACCAGCAGAATGTTTTCATGTTGTTGTCACTGCAGGAAGTCTAAGGCTTTTTAAGTAAAATTTCAGTAAGAGCTGCAACTTCTGTACTAGGTTTGCTTTTCTGCTGTAGACTGTAATTTTTTTCTCAATGTTTTACACACAACTTTCACTTTGTATTCCAGTACCACAGGGCTGGTGCCATGCTCTGCCACACCGACCACTTTTGGGGACCTGAGGGCAGCCAACGGCCAGGGGCAGCAGCGCCGCCGCATTACATCTGTACAGCCACCCACGGGCCTTCAGGAATGGCTGAAAATGTTTCAGGTAACTCGCACTTAAAGAAAGCAGCTTACCTCCATGACTGAAGCAAAATGCTGCTTCAGTGAAGGCATTCCTCCCTGTATATCCCACAATGTTTCCTGCATTGATTTTGTGTACTGTTGAAAAAACAAACGGACATCAACTTCAAGGAAATGCAGCTGCCCATTTCAGCTAGTTACTGTAGAAACTCACAAAAAATACTGCCTTCTTTGGTTTCTTAATAAAATAGTCCATACTGTTTGATGCTTTCACATTTTCTGCAAATTCAGTCCAGCATGTTACAGCTGCCTCCGTGGCCTCAAGCTAACTGGAGATATTTTCTCTGGGAGACTGGCAAGCGGGAGCACATGGTTTGCCTCAGCGTAGGTATAGCACTAAAATTATCCCAAGTCTGCTATCTTCTAAGAATAGAAAGAAATGTTTAGGAAAAATAGGTTAAATGGAAACTCAGTGTGTATTTTTTTATATGTTTGAGCACTGAACACAGTGTCAGCTGGTACACGTGCGTACATTGAGAACAGGGTGAAAAGAGGCTTTCTGTATCTTTCCAACAGCCTTGAACGATGTCTAAAACTTAATGTGACCAAAAAGCAGAGAAACCAAAACCCAGTGGTATAAGGGACACTTGCACAGTGGAAGCTGACACCTGGGTGACACCATACTGGGAGCAGCTGAGCCAATTCAGTGTGCATTAACACAGGCACACCTTGGGGCAGCGCGGTGCTCTTAGGGCAAGGAGAGCATCAGAGAACTCTGCTGTGCAGCTGTGCGATGAGTTTTTAGGGAGGGATGACTCCCAGTCATTGATTTGAAAAACGGAAATATTACGTCTTCCAATCTTGATTAATAAACTGTTACTTCTAAAAATGTTTTCAGAAGGAATAGGTAACTAATGCAGGCATAGTTTCAATTATGATAACAGACGTTTCCAAAGATAGAACAACAGTGTTGTAGATACAGTAGCAAGCATACGATTTTGCAGGCAGGAGTGTGCTTTGGGCTTGATTCATGCTGCCACATAGTACCATTGATCTCAATCACTGTCACGGCTGAACATTAAAATAATAATGGAGAACTCCTTTCCCTCTTTATTTTTACACGTTTATGATCTGCATAAAACAGTGGAAGTTTGGAATTAAGATGTTCGTTCATGCTCATACGTAATTATAATGGTGTGTCTTTTTTTCTTTTGTTCTGACTGTCCATAGAAAGGTGTCTTTTTAACCCTTGAGGATCGTATTTGAATGGTAATTTGTAGATATGATACTTAATGTAATTCTGTGTTGTGTTTTAATACACTGATAAAACTTTTAAGCTAAGGAAAGCTATTTTACGTGTAGGATGTAGTGTGCATTTTCTCAGATAAGATCAACAGTTATCAGTAGCGACTTGTTAAAAAAGCACTGAAAAGCTGAAATGTTTGAGAGCAGGATGATGCGTGGCAGTAGGAGCACTGCTACTTGCTGTTTAGCCAGCATCATGAAAAGTCTGTAAGCCTATGGAAAGTCTGCATGTAATTGGTTTCTTGTTATTTTTGGTTTCGTAATGGAGGAACGATGCTCTCCATTAAGTAAATAATTAGATATTTTTGGTTTTTGAAAATACTTACTGTCTGTTGTAATTCCCAAGTTCTGATCTGGACTCTTGAGAGAAAGAGGCCTCTCTTTACTAACTAGGGATCATCTAGTAGCACTCAGAGATAGCAGCTGCTCTTACTGATAGTTTGTGCTGCGTTCACAAAGGGAGTCCTTTACTTTCAACCCAAATCCTTTAAAGTCACGTGCGTGCCAAGCACACCCATTTTCTCATTTTTTTAATTTTCTCTTGAATTGTATGAAGTAGGTGAGTCTTATCTGTTGAAATGATGAAAGCACAATCTCCCAGTCAGGGGAGGTAGCTCTGCCCAGAGAGAAGAATCAAATGGCACATGTAGCATTGTTCTTGCAATGCCAGGCTTTTACGGTTCAGAAACAGAAATGGGAGGCCTCGCTTCTTTAGGTACTTTATGCCTCCAATGCCTGTTTAATAGCCCTATCATATTTTATGTGAAAATATATTCCCAATTAATTTTAAACTGTAGTTTCCAGGGGCACATTAGCTGGACGTATGTCCTGTTTCAAGGAAGAACCAAACTTTGGCCTGGAAACCAGAAGTAAGCAGAGATTCTCAGTTACTTGGAGGTCCCTGGCCTGTACGTTGCCATTCAGATCCTCTCTTTTATTTACTTCTTTGGGGAAGGAGTGTAGAGGGGTCAAATTTAAAAGCAAAAGAATTCAAATACTGAGAAAACAAGATGTCCTCTAAGTTTGTAGGTTTTAAAATTTATTTTTATACATTACTTCTGCTCTTACGTTTTGTAGCTGATCTAGGTGCTTCATTTTGAAAATGACAAAAACTAATGCAGAAAGGAGAAACAGTTGGAAGTGTATTGCACTTTCCCTTTAAAAATGCAGATGTATATTGATTTCAGTGAAATATTAGTCTGGAAACAGAAGCAGAAGAGCATTGTGATAGGTTTGAGCCATTTAATTTCTTAAAGACCCATTTATTTTTCTGTTTTGTACTGACTCTTCGCTTCAGGACTTTTTAATGTCTGCTACAGGATTTTTAAAAACTCAGTGACCAAACATATTATAAGGTTTCTTCTCTTACAGTGAGCTTGTTTTTATTGTATTTGGAACAGGAAATATCTTTAAGTCACCAAGTTGCTTGCGGTAGGGAAAAAGATCAACTGCTTGCTAAATTCAGTCAGCAACAGTACTGCTTTACATCTTAAATTCAGTTTTTCTCTCTTCATTATTCCTGCTTTGCATACTTACAGTGTTAGGTAACTTGATCAAAAATTTGAATTTTCTGGAGATATCTCGGGGCATTCGTAGCAATGTCACAGTTGTTCCAAAGGCAGTAAGTACAGGCAGTGGTTTTAAGTAACTAGTGAAGGCTATTATTCTGCCTCAGATTGGAAACATTGCTTTCTCCGTGGTTTAAATAGTGCCCAAATCCTCTAGCCATTGTTGGCTGGCAAGAATACTGTTTCTTTCCTTCATGTGAAGAGTTGGCTGAGCCACTGCAATTCAATTTCCTTACATTCTTCACTTTGTACTCTTCCAGAGCCACTTGTGAATACATAGATGCATGGGGCCGAGTAGCCCACCTCTTACATGATGCAGGCAGTGGAGATGATATCATCGCCAGCATTACGGCATCTTCTCCTTTATGGTTACAAGTTCAAGGTCTCAGTGTCGATGTGCAGAATGGGAAGGACCCACGCTGTAGCACTTTGCTGCTTTGGGCTGTTTCACCCATACCAGTTTGGTTGGGAGCAGCAGTGGGGATTGCAGCCAATGCCCTGGTCGTCCCTGCTCATACTCCTTTGGCTCAGATGGCAGAGCAGTTCTGGCACATGTAAGCTACGCTCCCTTTGGAACAAGCTCTGGGTGAAGCCACTGCCAGCCTGCAGCAGGGACACAGCTGTCACTTCTCCTCCAGGAGCAGGCGCGTCTGGGGGAACCTTCAGCCTGGCTCAGCTTCAGTCACCCCTTGCTCCCGGAACCCCTGTTGTGACAGGCCGCTCGCTGGTATGGCCTTTCCTGCAGGGGATTTTGCTCACGTGCTCTGTGTACCAAGGCTGGGATCACCTTTGAGCTGGCAGGAGCTCAGTAACTAGCCTGAGCTGAGTGGCAGCAGGATGCCAAACAACCCTTTCTGCAAGTCTGCATGAAACAGCACACCTCCGTTAGCAGAGCGCAGTCACAAAGAATAGCACTCTGAGATTGTACTGCAGCGTAACATGTTTAAAATAGGCGTCCTTAAGTTACCTGTAGTAGAAGAAAGAGCTAATTGCTGCAAACCGTAATGGTGCAAACTGGAGTTTAATAGGTTGGGGCTATGTGACAGAAGAGCATAGCTCACAGCAGAGGCACAGAAACAGGAGGAGATGGTGAAAGGATGAGTCGCGAGTCAGACGGGCGGGAGGAGGTGGAAGTTGTGGGAGCAGCAGAGATCTTTATGTTGATATCAAGTTGTTTTGCATGCCTGATAAAGACAGGAAAGAGGATTACACACAAGAGCACAGGGGAGCTGAAGGGCCATTTTTTAGGTAGGCCGTGCTGTGGCTGCAGTAGCTGCGTGCTGAATGAGGGATGGCATGAGCAGTCAGAAGGCAGGGGCTGAAGCAACAGGGCCTCCTGGGGACCTGAGGAAAAGATGGGACTCCTTGTTTGGGAACCTCAAGTTCTCAGCTCCCTGGGATCAGCCGTCCCTGCCCCAGCAGTACATGAAGGAATTAAACAAATGCATTTTAAAGATAATGTATATTCTTTAGAAAGATCTTCAATCTGAAAGGGGATCACCTGGTAGAAGTCCAAGGTGTCTGGATGCTACACAGGTATCTTGGATCTCTTCAGAGATCCATCTAAAACGTTTGAAATTTTGCAGAATGTTTGGTGCCCATTTATTTGTCTTGGTTTTTTTTTTTTGTTTGCTTGTTTTTTTCCATCCATCTTTCCTCATCAAAGCTACAAACTTTTTTTTTTTTCCCTGTTCTCTGCTCAGTGCAGTTTTGTGCTGTTCTGTACAAACAGATCAAGCTTTGGGGTCCAGAAAGGCCAATTTCTTAATCCTGCCGTCGTTATCAGAAGCGTCTGCATTCATCTGGCACGCTTACTCCATCAAATCCTTCCATGCCAAACTTCCCTTAGAGACCCCTTACTGACAGTAGCTGGGGGTCTCTTTGGTTATGTGACAGACTAAGGGGACAGTGTCCCAGAGAAAACAATTTTAGCAGCTGACAGCTCAAGAGCAGCCTTAGGTAGCTGCCTGCAGCCACCCTGTAACGATGACTGGACAGATGAAAGTGGATGCTGCTTGTATTCATTAGCGTCTCTTTCCCCTTCTTGTATTTTCTCTGTTCTCTTTTCTGATCAGCTCTGCATTGCATTTTAAAAATAGAAACTCAGGAGAATTACAGATTAAGATAGTGCACAGAGAAATTATTAATGTCTTCACAACTGTCATCCATGCTTGCCACAGCGACGTGCAACGGTATTCAGGTTGATTTGTCTTAATTTATTATAGCTGCTTATAAATTAAGAGTAGGCTGACCTTGGAAACTTACAGTGTGAGAAAGTAGCACGGGTATTGTTTTTCCTTTTTTCTTCTAATTCTCCTAAATTCAAACACAGTCGGCAGCTAAGATGAAGGATTTCAACTGTTTGAACCTAAAGGCTGCTAAACTTGGGGATGCTGCAACAAACAGTTGGAAAGTTGGTGAGATAAACAGCTCTTCAGTGCACGATGTATGGAGAACTCTTCTGTGGAGCAGATGTTGCTATTGAAAGAAACTTTGCACAAGTTTTGTATTGCAGAGGCCAGAGTTAATTGTTAGTTCAAGAGAACAGGCATTTGTGTGAGCAATAAGAGCCCTTAGATACATGGCAGATTTGAGCAGAAATCTTAATTCTGAGGTATCTTGCCCTATATTGTTTTAAAATTTCAGCTAGCCTCTTACCATAACTGCAATATAATTTCCATGCGTCAATTTACTTGTAGATGTCACTCTAGAAGACATTGAAGAATGTGAATTTGCTCTCAAAAACTGATGTCTCATTTTTTCTCCTCTCTGAGGCTTTGTTCATGCTCTAATTCTGTTGCTAAATCAGTTAGCAGTGGCTGTTGGTTTTTTTTTTCCCTGTAGAAATGATTTTTTTCCTTAAATTATTTTCACATAACAACTCTAAACTCTATGATGAGCATAGATGAGTTTGAGGCATGCTTTTCAGACATGCAGTATATTCAGTTACTATTTTTTTTTCTACAAACGATGCTATTAATCTGCTATGCTCTCAGATGAGCGCCTTATTAAAATCTTCAGATTTTATGGTGCCCATTAGTCAAAATGTGAAGTAAGAAAATTACCAGCCAAAATTCCCTGTTTATTCAAGTGTAAATTGATATCTACAAATATGTGTTGCTTTATAGCCAGGATTCTGAAATACAGCATTGTCACACAGGGACATACCATAGTAACAAGCAGGCAGTATATTTCTGGAGAAAGTTCCTTTCCTTTCTTCTCATTCAGCTTCAGGTCTTTGGTCTATCAGATGATGCATCAAGGTTAAAAGTTACCTCACTTGAATGTACAATGGAGAAAAAAAGCAAATTTTGTTTCACCCCCTTTGTTGTCAGTAATATGTGCATAAATTTCATCAACTTCAAAAGAAGCTTAATTGTTTTAATTATTATTATTAAATATTATTATGTGTTTAATTGCTAATCTGTATGTGTGTGTAAAACAAATTCTTTCTTAGCTTAAGAATCAGTGTAGTAATTTTGAATATTTTGTGTTGATTAAATTCTCATTTTTGTGTAATTTACATGAGCGTTTCTCTTGCTGCCTTTTAATATGCTTGTACATAGGTCGACAAGGAAACCTAACTTGCATTTTCGGCAAAGCAAAGATGTTTACTAATACAGACTGAGATTTTGGTTTTGTTTTTTCTTGCAGAGCTGGAGTGGACCAGAGAAATTACTTGCTTTAGATGAACTCATTGACAGTTGTGAACCAACACAAGTGAAACACATGATGCAAGTGATAGAACCCCAGTTTCAAAGAGACTTCATTTCCTTGCTCCCAAAAGAGGTGAGAAATACGGGTTCAAGTCGCCACCTTTTAAATACTTCCTTGCTCATTGTGGCATTCATTTTTTTTCCACCATAATGGCATAAACTGATTTTAAAGAGGTCTCTGAGTTGACCTACTGCTGTAACATAGTAACCATTAGTTTACAGTAACACACCTTTGTGTTTTGGTTGCAATTCTGATACCTGGAAATATGGATGACTCCTTAAAATCCCAGGAGCTTTCAGGTATCTCTGTATCTTAATTGGGCTGACTTTATTTTTACACTGAGAACTAGTTCTTTCAGAGTGCACACAAAAAAATTCCCTCCAGCTGCATGACCTTTCTGCGCGGTATTCTGGAAGTATAAGTGTTACTATTTAATGCTTTAAGTAGTGTGCTTTTTTGGTGAACCTTATTTTTTATAATTTATTCTAAACAAACTAAGTCCTGAAGTCTGCATCAATAAACCCCACCAAAAGTAAGCTCAGAAAGCCCTTCTTGCTAAGGATAAAGCCAAGCCCTGATTAACTGGATATATTGCAGTAAATCCTTTTCTGCAAATCAGATCATGTTGTATCAGGTTAAAGAGAAGCTAAGACTTAGATTTGAGTGTGTGTGATTTTCAGCTTGTGTAAGTAAGTAAATGTTGTCTGTAGAAGAGTAATTCTTGGTATTCTCACAACTAGAACGTGGGGTTTGAGATGAAAGAGTACCAAGCCACTGTAATACAGCTGTTAAATGCATTTTAGTACTTTTGGAAATTATACTTCTGATATTAATTGATTTTAGTGAATGGGAAGTTGTTTTCCTGTCTGGAGAGAGGAGAAAGTGCATCTTCTTTTGCCATATCTGCTGTGTGCTGAGTTTGCCACGTGAAAATTTGCATGAGGGTTGATGTTCGTATGTCTTTGTTTACTGACAGATTTGAAAACAAGTTCTTCATGAAAACAAGTTCTTCATAGATATTCTGGAGCTGGTGTTTGGTTACTGTGGTTAGTGTGCTCTTATTTTCTGTGAAGATAGTTCTGTATCTCCTGTTCTTGTCGTTCTTTCTGATCATGTTCTATTTTTGAAAAACTTAGATGTGCGTGACCCTTCTTTCCATCGCATCTTCATGGACTAGGAAATATCACAGCCTTCTCTCGGGTTTTATGGTTAGCATTTGTAAGCATTGGAAGCACCTTACGTGATGAATGTTAACTTAGAACACGTGACATAAGCATGTGGAAAGCACTCTGTGGTAGCCTTGTTCACGTATGTAGAGGACACTGGGGAAAGAGGAAAGTTTAACAGGACCTCTGTGGTGGTGCAGTGTGGTGGTGCAGTGTTTGTAAAGAGTCTGCCCAAAGCGGCCTTAGAGCAGAGGCTGAGGAAGGAATCAAGAGGTTAGATTTCAAGACAACAGAGGGCATTTTGTTACTTCTGCACCTGTTGCATCTGGAAATGCACTAATTTATCACAGTAGGTCGCAGATTAATTGTCTTTCTTTGCAAGACTTAGTGCCCAGACTGACTGAAGTCGTTGACGTAGTTACACTGTAATTAATGATATTGCTGTTATTTCAGTTTTAGCCATTTCTTCACAGAAAGGATATGCTATTTAGCTGTAAAATAAACAGCTAAATATCTATGTTCCTTATCTCTTGTTTGTTACTTGACTCCACTGCAAGATACTTGTGTTTAATTTATTTTTAGTGGTCATTCTTGCTTCTTGAAACTGTAAAATAGTCAAGTGCTTACCAGAAAGGCTGACTTGGCCCTGGAAGCTGGCTTAAACAATTTTTGCCTTCTAACCCCCAGTTGCCGTCACCAAAATTAACCAAAAATTCTCCATGAAGCCAACTCCATCTCCTCTCCATTTTTGAAGATTGTTTAAGTCAGATCTGTTCAATGACTCTGTCACCTGCTACTGGCTTCAGCGGGGGGTGATGAGTAAGTCTGGGGAGAAGAATAATTTAATAGGGTCAGTAATTCTGTAAGCAGGCTTCCCTACCAGTGCCAGCATCCTGTGAAAGCATGCTCTCTTGAGCTGTCACTCTGCATTAACATCTATAGGTAGCTCCAGGATTGTATGTACTGCAGTGATTTTATTACCTAATCAGAATATGAAGCCGATTTGGGCAGGAGGCCTCTCCTTCAAAAATGTTTTCAGCAATAGAAAGACAGTAACTTAATATCTGAATAACCAAATGTTTGCCTTCCTCCTGAGGAAACCTGCAGTCAAACAATTAATCTGAAATGAATATTTGTTTCTTACAGAGCAATTAGAAATAATTATTGAAATTATTTGTTTGTGAAAGTCAAGTCTCAAAATCAGCAGATAAGGAGTGCTGCTAAAATCAGCCAAAGAAGCAGTATTGGTGCCATGGTACATTAGGAGAGAAAGCGAGATTCGGCGTGTGGTTGGGTATTGTTAGTGCTGCAGAAGGGAGCAGGCCTCAGTCAAGGTCAGCTCTCTGCTACCTGAAGCTGTCTCACAGCTAACTCCACGAACTGAGACAAAGGGCCTCCATCTTTTTTACGCTGCTAATCCTAAAGTCAACTGTGAGCTGTGTTGACCCTTGATGACTATTTAGCCAAATATAGTCTAAAATAAATGTCACCCATATGTAAGCTGTTTTAAAATCAGTTGGCTCACAGATTTTAATTAACACTATCTTAGCAAATGTCCATACCCATGTAGATAGGACAAGTGATATTTAAACAAAATCTTCTGTCAGTTAAGGAGCATCTAACAAAAAAGGAAAGGATCTGTTTCATGTTTTGAGCCTAGCTGCGTGCAAGGCCGTCTATCTGATGTGTCTTAGGAAACGTGTCGTAAATAATGTTCCATATCAGGAATTAACACAAAGTCGAAAAGGACACAAGCACAGTTGTTGTTTTTGTGTCAGGGAGCCTTACAGCAAACATTAAATTCTGACTCCACAAACGAGCAGGGACAGAACAATCGTTCCTCAGCTTTATAGCCTGGGATGCTTGTGGGATCTACTGTGCAAGTTAAGGCGCGTATCCAGCAAATGTGGAGTCATACATGCTCAGTGTGAGCTGCAGGTGATGACTTGGCCACAAGGTGTGTAATCGCAATCAGAATGCCAAGAGGCCTGACATGCTGAATGTTTATTTCCTGCGCAGTTAGTGGCTGAGCTAGATTAATACAAGTAAACGTTTCTCACATAATAAGGTTAAAAATCTGCTGAGGTCAACAGCCTACAGTTACAACTTCCTTAGTGAATTTCAGTCTGTGCTTCTTTGAAAGGCAGATTCTATTTATATGCAACATAACTCCAGTTAAAAATTAAATACAAAAATGCTAAGCACAAAAAGAGATGTCAAGCAGCAGTAAATGTGGATGATCTGATTTTCCTGACAACTTTTGCATCCTAGTATTGACAAAGACCCCAGTATTTCTAAATGTAAGTAGTTCTGTGCGTCACTTTTTATCAATGTTGTTCTTTCCGTGGAGACTTTAGTCATGGAAGCCACTTTCCTGCCTCTTCTATTTTCATTTTCCATGACTGGAGAAATGCATTGATGCTGTTCAGTAGAAAAGCTGTAGTCATTCATCCAGGATACCCTTGAGGATATCCATCACCGTATTTTGGTTTGTGTTTTAGATGCCTCTGTTTAAAGCTCCAGGCCATCTGAAGATATTTCTGGAATTTTGGGGGACTTATTGTGGTCATTATGTGGCTTCGCTCAACTCAGCTGAGATCTGAGCTCCACCAGTAACATTTAACATTGTCACACAGAAAAGTGAAGTTCAGCTTCAGTTCACCTTATGCAACATACTGGGATTTCCCTTGTTTGTTGGTGTTTTTTTTTTTCCTGGTAACAAATGCAGTGTGTAATACCAGTTACATATTTTAGTCCTTTTGCATCCAAGTGCATCAAACTCCCTGTAGCAGCACTTAGGTGTATGCTCGCATCCTAATTAGAACTTGAGCGATGTGATTACTGGATTTTCTGCAGCTGCAGAGTACTTTTGAACTTGAGGCCAAGTAGCATTTACATTTTCTCTGTTTGAGCTTACGGTGTGATGTTTTTCCATCTCGGCATCCTTAATTTGTTCACATAGTGAGTGTGGTGGTATTTTCTGGTTAAACTCTCAGAACAACTTTTATTAGATAAAATATCACAGGCACAATTATTTCAGTATATCTGGCAGTGGTTCAAAGTAATACGGATGACATTTAAAAAAGCATAATAGCCAGTGATTTCAGCTGACATCTAGTCTCTTGCAAATAATATACATTTTTGATGTGATCTGTGTGGATTTAGTTATTTAAGAAGATTACTGTACTTCTCAAGTGCCCACTGGAACAAGCTGTAGCTCTGCTAAGTTTCTGAGATCATTTAATAATTCATTGTTTCAATTTTCTGTATTTCAGCCTCTGATGTGTGATAATGCTTGGAGTTACTTCACTTTTCCTTTCAAAAGCAATTTAGAAACCTCCCTTCCTTTTCTTACAGCTGGCGCTGTACGTGCTGTCATTCCTGGAACCCAGGGACCTTCTGCAGGCAGCTCAGACGTGCCGTTATTGGAGGATTCTGGCTGAAGATAATCTTCTCTGGAGAGAGAAATGCAAAGAGGAAGGTAAGGCTGAGCAAAAAGATGAATGTAATGGTCAAAGTGTTGCTGTCAAAAAGTGCAGCTCGTTTATATAATGAGCTTAAAGTTTTATGAAGGGAATTTGAGTGACTTTAAATTTACTGCTAGAGATGCTTTGAGCTACGTGGTGCATATCTTTGTTAAAAGTAGGAAGCAGAAGTAATCTGTGGAGTACTGGAAATGAAACTAGACTACTTAAGCTTGAACATAATGTGCATAAGGTATAACACATAGATGGGTTTTAAAATACGCTGATTTTTCCTGGTTAAGGATAGTTTTTATTCAAAATACAACCAAAGCAAATAAGAGCTGAGATGAGCATTGGCCTTGCAGGAGGAAAAGCTGCAGTGGTTGTGTACAAGACTGTGATTTCATGTTAGTTGTGGGAAAGCTAACAGAAATTTCATAGTGTAGGAGAAGGTGGGAATGGATTGCTCAGAGAAGGGGATGCATTCCTTAAGTCCTGTTGATTCGCTGCCTCCTGCCCAGTCAGGAAGATAGAGTGGTTCAGCAGTACTACGAATGGGCAATAAAAGACTCCCAGGGAAATAAGCACCTGCATGAAAATAAGAAAAATGTACACTTGTTAAGCAGAAATACATGGCTAAGCAGTCTGGGAGACCAAGCACGTGCATGCAGCTCTGAGAGCAGTGCCCTTACTGGACACAGGCAAACGCTGGTACTGTCCAGTCTGCCTCAGCACCGAGACAAGAATGTGGGGAGAGGTCTGCGCAGAGGCTTTAAAAATGATGACAGTATGAATGTAGTTGGCTATTTTTAAAGGCCCTTAAATAATGAGTTGTTCTTCTGCAATGGAATTCAGCTGTCTAACCTCATAAATCTTATCTAAAGATTCTCAGAAATTTCAGTGAAAAATGCATTGAGAGGATAGAATGAGGAAAAAGGAAAACAGTGAGGGGTGTTAAGTCTACGTTTGTGAGCTGAGAAGTAAAAAATAATCTGTCCAGGCATAAGAGCACTGTTTAAAGGGGATTGTAGACTATTCAGACCTGGTGAGATGCACAGTAACATGAAAGCTCGCTTAATTCAAAATTTTCAGATGGAAACACAGGAAAGGGGGCTAAAAGCAGAACAGTGAAATCCATGTACTGGCAACAGTCATGGGTCAGGCTAGTAGAGAGATGCAGTGGAGAAAGAGAATTATGTAGAAAAGATGGATAGGTGGGAAAGAGAATTGGCCAGAAAAAGACACAAAATGCAATAAGAAATATGAAATGAAGCACTACCTCTTAAATGTCAATTCAGACAGGGTGCAAGTCTACCTAAACCGAAGCCAGGCGAGGACAGCTTTTTGAAAATAACAAATGAAGAGGTCAAGAGTCACGGGGTACTTAAAGGTAATGAAGATGCACAACCAGAGAGGAGGATTTTTTGAAGGGCTTCAGAATGGGAGTATGAATGGTTGTAGATGATAGTCAGGTGAAAAGGCAATATTCTGCTACATTTCCTCAGAATAAGGGATCCGAGACCAAGCAAGTAGATTGCTGGCAGGGAGTGATGAAAATGAGCATTTTCAACCACATGATTACAGTAATGATTATGCTTGGAAGGCAAGAAAGATGGTAGTACAGAGAGCTGAGGAGCAGGGTGGGGTCACTGACACGAAAAGCAAATACTGGCATGGAGAAGATGAGCAGAATTCTCTGTCAGGAGGTTGTTACGTTGATGCTGCATTTAATTTCAGAGATCACTGTAAGGTTGAGGACAGAGAAAAGCTGTTTTATTGGGGGTGGACTCATCACTCCCTCCTGCCACCGCCCCCTTTTTTTTTTTTTTTCTTTTTTTTCTTTCCTTTAAATCCATTTTAGGGATTGACGAACCATTACATATCAAAAGGAGGAAAGTAATTAAACCAGGCTTTATACACAGTCCGTGGAAGAGCGCGTACATTCGACAACACAGAATTGATACCAACTGGCGGCGAGGAGAACTTAAATCGCCTAAGGTGAGTTGCTGGGCTGTGCGCACGGTGCCATGAACTAAGCAGGATCCACTCGGGTTATTTTTTTCCTTCAGACAAGTTGAACTAGCCATGCACAAAAAGCAGCGCATCGTTACAGAAAGGCAGTCATTTGCATGTTAGCTTACCATGTTTTTACATTAATTTCTGAGCGCTATGTTAGCAAATCAAAATGTAAGGGTTTATGCAGCAAAACTCTTTTGCTGCTGTTTTAAAAAATTCTGTAGAATGTGGTGAATGGCTGTGCATGTGCCAGTCTTAGCGAGGGAGATAATCCCACAGACTTGATTGGAAATACTTATATTTAAAATCAAACACACGCAGTTGTGGGCCACTTACCAACACAAAAATATCCCACAACTATTCTGTGATCATTTCATGCTTTATTTATAGCTATTCTTATAAATTGAGCAACAGGAGACGGTAATTTTATTCCATGTTAAGATTTTTTTTGAACATTGAAATATTTAATGATATTGATTTCATATTCTCATTATGGCTTTTCCGATAGAAAGATACGAAGCAATAGCTACAGCCCATTTTAAAATAAACAGCTGTCTAATCAAACCTAGTATTGAGCTAGCAGTCAGAACCATGAAAAAAAAAACATATTCATATCCTTTAGCCAATTTCCTTGTCTTGATTTCTGTACAACAAAACAGTAAGAACAAAAAGATTCTTGTGACAAACCTATGGATAGGTCCTGCTGCTTATTTGGCCATGACTCATGTATGTCTGCAGCATGGCTCTGCTTCTTGCCTCGATATGCCACATCAACTTATCTTGGAATTATTATTAAAATTACAGCCTCGGGCATTAGCCAAATGCCCATTTCATTTCAGTGAACATCTTGCGAAATGCTCAAATATCCTAAATAAGGCCATTCCTTGTTCCTTCTCATTCTCCGTATTCTGATAACTGTGCCACATTTTAGTAAAATATACTGAATTGCAGTTTTTCTCAAGTCACAGATTGAAGATTCTGCTTCTGCAGGGTACTATTCCAGTCCACATTTCTAGCCTTTAAATGATTGCTTTTTTTTTTGTACTTAGTTTAGTTTATGGTTTATAGTTTTTTACTTCAGTGCAGCTTCACATTTAATAATGACAGTGTTTGGTTAGAAAGGAAAAAAATAGGCATGTTTGATCTTGACCATAGAAATACAATTATGCAGGAAATAATATAATGCTATCATTTTTGTTCAAGATTGGTAAAGCTCAAAACTTATCTTAAAGGAGGAAGTCCAAGGGGGGAAAAGAAAAGAATTAAAAAATAAAGAGAGGGAATAACTGCAGAAGAATTGAGCAATGTCCAGCAACTAATTTTTCCAACTTTCATTACTCGTTTATCCTGGTACTTGTAGGAGGTTTAAAATCCCACAGTACACTTGACAAGCAGTGCAGCATTATTCCACGGAATAAGGAAAATACCTTCTTTGGTCCCAGCTGGCAGTAAATGAGACTTGACACACAGGATTAAGAGGCCGAATTATTTTCGGAGCAACTCTAGCATTTTTTAATTTGTGAATCAGAATGGCACTGTGCTTCTCCTGCTCATTTCTGATCTCCTGAGTTTGGCTGTGAGCTCACGTTTCTGTGTTCGTCGCTGGCAGGTGCTCAAAGGCCATGACGATCACGTGATCACATGCCTGCAGTTCTGCGGGAACCGGATAGTGAGCGGCTCTGATGACAATACACTGAAGGTGTGGTCAGCAGTTACCGGCAAGGTAAGCGGAGGGCGTGCGTGGATTTCTTAGGACAAGGGCTGCCAGTTAGTGCTGGGAGACGGGTTGAAAACACCACGGTTTTGCCCGGCCACACCCACAGTGGTGTCTGGGGCTGCCTGATGAAAGAGTCGGGAAGGCGAATGGTAGACATTTGGGTCATCTTCTCCTGCACAGAGACTGGTTCAAAAAAGTCACCTTGATGTGAAATTACAATGCTGCTCATGCTACTGTTGGCATATATCCTTGTTCTCTTGGCAATTCTTCTATTCTCGTGGAGTCATTTGTGACATGGATTCTAAAGAATTTGGACAGATATGTTGCTTTATCTTCCTTAAAGCTTAATTTAGTCTCGTTTTTTCCTCTAGATCTGACTTGTCTTCTATCGTTCTTTCTGTTGCTTTTAAGTTATTGAAATGGTGTGTTGATTTTACTGGCTCTGTTTTCCAATGCAGTTTGTTTTTTATTCTAAGCTGCTACACTGCTGAGCCACAGGAAAAAAAAAAAAGTGTAACTTGCTTTAGGTTTAAATATTTCCTATTAAATTAGATCCAGCTCAGGCAGGAATTTAATAAGCTTCAATAATTTAATTTTGGCTTAGAGAAGCAAAACAATATGTGCAATCAAAAAGACAGTGCTGAGCATTTCACTCATGTCAGAACATCACAGCTGCTCAGCAAACAGTTCCATATAGCTATAGGAAAGGCCACAGAGCAGTAGTATTTTTTCCATCTAGACTAGTATCGTATAGACTTGGTATTATTTTAACAATATAATTATTTGAACACAGGACAGTTTTTGAGATTAACTTGATAATGTTCAAGTTGAACGTGTAAAGGATTTGCCCCTGCATGCCTAATAATGCCTTGACAAGGTCATAAATACTACAGTGGAAAAGAATAAAATCCAAAGCAATAGGCAGCCTCTCCCTACCTCTCCTAGCTTTCCTGCAACAAACTGTCTAATGAAGGAACCCATGGTAAATTTTTCATATTATACCTGAAGAGGCAGGCTAAACTGAGATGAAAAATACTTCCTTTCTGTATACAGGCCTCTCAGAAGCAAAATGTTCTTTTAAATGTATGAAATTGATTGTGATAGCACAACTTACCAATTGATGTTCAGTAATTTGTGTGAAAATAATTTCAGATTCCAATGCGACTATTTACCCTAAACCTTAGAGGTAAATACTGTATGTGAAAGAGGGCTGTATTGGCCCTTATGCTTACTGGTAGTGAAGAATTAATAAAATGAAAAGAACCCTAGGGGTTGATCTGTGCAAATGAACATGGCTAAACAATCCCCTTGACAGATGTAAAGCCCAGAATAAGGATTCTGTGTTCTTACTGCTTTACAAGGATGATTTCTTGAAATATGAACAAATCAGTGGAAACTTACTTGAAAAAGTTGGAGAGCTGTAAAAGTGAAAAGCAGTTATGAAATTAAAAAGATGGAACTGCTAGGCATGAATTAGGAAGCAGAAATTGCAGAAAACTGGTAGAAGAACTGGAAAGGTAAGTACAGCAGAAATGTAAGGATGTTTGTTAGAAAGGATATTACAGTAGAAATTAGTGTACTGTTGATTGCTGATGCAGAATAAGTACTTATGTTTGAAGAAAATTCATATGATGGAAATCCAGCATGCAGCAATGATAGAATATTTCAGCAGAAATTTGAAAGGGCATTAAAAACAACCACCAAAGCTGGGGAATATTTTATTACAGCTGGTTCAGACTCTGTGATTGGTTTCTAAAGTTACCTGTGGGGTAAAATAGGTGTGTTTTTTTCCCAACAGAAGGAAGCTAAAATGTATCAATATTTAAACTGAGTAAACTGGAAGACTGGGTTTTTCGGATACCTTATCTCAGATAAAAAAAAAATTAGACTACGTAAAAAGGAGTCATTAATGGAGAAGGGCCACGGATGTTAATTCCAGTTAGCATTAGATTACAGAAAAAGAGATCAGCCGACTGTCTTGACCTCTCTGCTGATGCAGGTAGAGGTTGGCCTGATAAAAATAATAGTGCTGAAGTAGATGGCTGTCTGCACTGCAAGACAGTATCCCATGACACAACTAAAGAAAACAGAGCAGTGCAAAAATCAACATGGCACATATTTAAATGGGTTAGAAAATGGGTAATTAGCAAGATCAGGTTATTAATGTAAATGCAGAATCTGTATGGAGTATCTTTCTAGAGGGGTCTTGCAAGGATCTGTTCTTGTCTGTACTAATTAGCACTTACTGCTGCTTGATGAAAATGCATATACAGTCGTGACTTGTAAGGAATACAGACAGAGATGGAGACAAAACAATGTTCCAGAGTGGGTGAGATTTTATAGAAGAAAGCGTGAGCAATCACTCTTCCTACATGGTGACAAATCACGTCACACAGCTAGTACCAAAGAAGGCCAGCCATGTGTGTGTAACGTGGGATTCTCTCCTGGGCAACAGTGATGTCTGTAGATGGTTGGAAACATGATTTCGCAGTGTTGATGCTGTAGCTGTAGCTTACAGAATGTGCTGTTTCTTGGATAAATAAGCAGAAACATTAAGTAAGAGAATAGTTTATAGATTGGTGGTAAAACTACTAAGTGAATGCTCTCTCCAGTTCTAACGTTTATGCTTCAGAAACATATTGGAAACCTGCAGTGACTCAGAAAAACTGCCAAGATGAAGACTCAAGGCTACAAAATGCATCTTCTAGAACAAAGATAGTCTAGCAAAAGCAAGATTATAGGGAAAGTTCCTTACAGTCCAAGTACCTGCAGTGGAGAGAGGAACTTCATGGTCATTTTCTAGCAGATGTAAATTTTCAGTACAAGAGCAGAGCAATCCCCAGGAGCCTTCTGGCTCTTGCTATGACACGCTACTGTTACCTCCTTGATTACTATTTCTAAAACTTGTGTTACAGTCTGTCAAAACAGTAACTGAGCCATACATTTCTTTTCAGTGCTTGAGAACATTAGTTGGACATACAGGTGGAGTCTGGTCATCACAGATGAGGGACAACATCATCATCAGTGGATCTACAGACCGGACTTTGAAAGTCTGGAATGCTGAGACTGGCGAATGCATACATACTTTGTATGGACACACCTCCACGGTGCGCTGCATGCATCTGCACGAGAAGAGGTAAGCCTCTGTCCAAAGCTACAGCCACGGTCTGGCTTCTGATCTGCACTCTGTTCACACAAACACTTGTTAAATTCGGGTGTCTGATCAGACGCTGAGTGAAATACGGAACAGGCGGAGCATCCAAACTAAAGTACATCAGTTGACTAAGGGAGGAGATTATTAATAGAAGCAAAAGCACGCAAGTATTAACTAAAGAACAGAAACTAAGAGAGTCAGGAACTTTATAAAGCAGTCTTTTACCTTATCCCAAAAATCATTCTTCGTTACAGCCTGATCCAGTCTACCACACTGAATAATTTATTCTTGGCTTTTTGTAAATGTTACAGATTTTCTCATTTTGCAGAGTGACTTATGCATTGTTGGTGTGGTACTTTATTAAAATTTTAACTTACTGTATCATGATTTCTGCAGTAGAAATTCTTGATTCAAGGAACATTGGCAGAGCTACTTTACGTGGCTGTGGTATGGTGCTGTTGTCCAAGTGCCCGTTGGTTACATTTCTTTTTTGAAGAATGTGGAGGTTTTTCTTTATCTGTGCCACTAATATTAATTCCTTCTCACTTCTGTGCTTGCCTAAAAAGGCTTTAAAAAGTATAAACTGAGAAAAAAAACAAGCAGAATAATCGTTCCTTTGCTAAAAGTATAACTTCTAAAGATCTTCTTTAATTGTTATAATTAGTTAATTCAGTCATTTAAGCAGGATGCTTAAAGTGCTAATTTGAACTCGGCATATTCATAAGCTTTATGGGTGGATACAGTAGTCCACGTAGTTTCTCATGGCATCATTTTGCTGTTCGGGACTCAAGTGCTTTTTAAATAGAGATTGCTAATTATATCAAATAGATCCTGGAGAGACGAGAAGGGCGAGGAAGAAACACACTTGAGTCATTTGCATCCCTAATAAAATGTCATACCAAACCAGATCTTCGGTGCCTAGTGGACAAATGCTGTCTAGTCATCCCAGATGAAAACTTAGAACTGATTTATATTGTTTTAATGCTTTTATTTCCAACACTAAATATAGGAGGGGTTTTCTTGTTCCTCCAGAGTGGTCAGTGGTTCTCGAGATGCTACACTGAGAGTTTGGGACATAGAGACGGGCCAGTGTTTACATGTTCTGATGGGCCACGTAGCTGCAGTTCGATGCGTTCAGTATGATGGCAGAAGGGTTGTAAGTGGTGCATATGACTTTATGGTCAAAGTGTGGGATCCAGAGACCGAGACCTGTCTGCACACGCTGCAAGGGCATACCAACAGAGTCTATTCATTACAGGTAAGCGATTTTCATCTGCTGCTTATATGAACACAGTGCATTTCACCTCTTTTATTAATTTGTGAAAACCTGCTGCAGAGTTACATAGGCCAAAGAATACTGGGGCATCTGTGATATTCCCCTTCTACATTTTTTTATCTTTGTTTTATGTTGGCTTAATTTAGAGGCTGTATTTTGTTGTTGTTTTTTTAGAAGAGTACTGTTAAAGCCCATAGTGCAATAAAGCCCAAATCTCTGTCCTGACAAATTATGTACTTTTGCTAGGTGTTTTTTAAATGTTGTATGCATTTTGGAAGTATGCTTTTGGCTTCTCCAAAAGAAGTTCTAATGTTACTATTTAAATACGTTAGATAATACAGTATTTGAAAATGTGCCAGAAAACCCATTGGATTAATGTTCTGAATTAAGCAAATCCGTTTATCTTGATTTTGTAGTCACATCCTCTAGTTCCAAACTGTAATTCACAGTAAGGATGAACCTAAAATGTAATGCCCTGACTTAAGTGTCTGTTTTACTACTTCTGAGCAAAGGCTGTATCTACATTTCTGTAGATACAAAAAAAAAAAACCTGTATCTACAGTTCTGAGGCTTTGGCAGCAGAGACACGTTATTGTAGATGCAGATTCTTGGTACCAGTGTATGGCATGGCCAGTTACCTCTCGCCTGACTTCACCAGAATTATGCTGGCAAAGTCATACACAGACCTCATGTAGACTCTTCTTACCTTAACTATTCCAAAAGATCATCTTGTTCATTCGTGAAGTGAAAGCATCAATTCCAGGCACTGAAAGGAGAAAGAAATTAATTTCATGCTTGTGCCTGTTCTCATTGCAATCTAGCAGAACTGAAAAAAGAAATTAACAACAAATACAGTTCACAACTGGGAAACTGCATTCGGCATGTAACCAGTGTGGTTTGTGGCACAGAAAATGAAGCTCTGTGCTGCAGACATTTTTCTTAAATGCTTTCATCAAAAACTGTTTTCCACCATAATAGATCAATTTTACTAGATATTTGTCTTTTTTGATCAATTTTACTAGATATTTTTCAAATCACCATCCCTTCTCTTATATTCATGCACTGCTGAGTATTTGAGACAAGCAGCAAACAGGTTAAAAATACTGCACTAGCTACTTCGTATTCTGGTTTTGTCTCTTCTGGTGCAGTTTGGGAATGGTGCTGTTGTTCTACCTTATCTTCACCGATGGCTCTTGTTCCAGTTGGTGAAGTTATATGTCTTACTCTACTAAAGGAGTAATTAAGGGTCAAATAATTGGGTTATGTTGCATGCACTGGTAGTATTTATAGCTTGTAAGTGGAAGTTGGAGGGGGCAGAAGGCTACAGGTACTTAGAGTTTTAGGACATTCCAATTTGTTGAAATTGAAAGGTGAGCTCCTGCTGAAACAGCCCATAAATAGAATAATGAGGCTGAACAGCATGCCTGTCTTCCCCACCCCTGCCCCATAGTGGATTCTCTGGTATTTTAGTATTTCCCCATTTGTGACTCCCCCCCTCCTCCCCTATACAATTGTTAGGTCTTTATGCAACAATTTAAAAGTACTAATCAGGTTGCCTCACAAAACACAGTACAACCTCTGATATGAATCACTGTCTGTTTAACTGCAGCAATATCGAAGTAGTTTGTCTTGATGCTCAGCCTTAAAGCTCTCTTTCTGAATACTCTATGCATGCAGAATACAGTTAAATGAGAGGAGAGGGAGAAAAGTGTCTATTTTTTTTGCATCAGTCTTTGTTTAAGTCCATTCTGTAGTGTTCCACCCAACAAGTATGCTGGCTGCTCAATATTCCTGATCCCTTTATCCAAACTCGAATTAGTTCACGTGCTTTCTTGAAAGTACAGCGCAGAAAACAGGGTGCAGAATTCTAGTCAGTCTCAGCAATGCTTGCTGTACTGGAAGAGTTATTTTATGTGTATTGTTCAGCATATTTTGGATACCAGCATGTGTGTTTTTTAGTAAATTTTCACTGGACATGCAATGTATTGCAGCCAGCAGTCTGCACGCGCCAATCGTTCCCTAAATCTTCTGAACCAAAGCGCCACTCGACCATGACTACAGGTAGAGATGTAAGCTGCTCTGAGATGCAAGGGGTTTTACAAAGAGAAGCAGTCAGATAGCTGGGTTCTCTCTTCTCTGTTATAAGATACCAGTAAGCCCGCATGGACAAACAGTGTTAGTTTGCTCTGGCTATCCCAGGCTGCAGTTTTACCCTCATGTATTCTTGGCCGAGCTCAGATTCTCATAATTCTCTCCTGACTTTTACATGCATCCCTTTGGGTCAGGTTCTATCATTTTGAATGTCACACAAATCCTAATGAAAATACTAGCCAGACCCCCAGAGCTCTTACTGATATGTCTAACTATTCTGTGAACTGATAGTTATCCTTGCACCAAGTATTATTTGTTAGTTCCTTCTGTAAATCGAAGTTACGCTGACTGATCCATAATTCTCCAATCTCCCACCCTTGAACAAAAAGAGAAATTGTACCTGCCACCTGAAGTCTTGTCTGTCTTCCATGACTTCTCAAAATAGCATCAGCCATCTCTACGATGGTCTTAAAACAACTTTGCTGTATGTGTGTTTTTTCTCCAGTCTCGTGGAAGCTCGTAGTCAGTTGTCACTGGTGTTAGCCTACACTCATGGCTGAGGACTGAAGCAAAAAAAAAGTTAAATATCTTTAAATAGCCTCATCTGGTGTTTCTTTTTCTTCTCAATCAGCTTAAATGAGTTTTTTAAAATTTTTTTGCCTTTTTTTTTATTAAACAGAATAGCATTTTACCATCTTTAACAGCTTTTGCTAGTTTTATCTTGTTTTGTGCTCTGCCCTTCTGATTTTGTCCCGGTGTACTCCTTTGTGTGCATCTATTGATCTCATTTCTGCTTTTGTACAATTGCCTGTACTTCAACCAAGTGGGTCTTGGTAATTTACTGCACTTCCTTACTTTCCTTCACACAAGGACAGTTTGTGTCTTTAAGAAGGTGCCAACTCTCCTGAACTTTTCTTTCCCTCAGAGATACATAAAAACCTCATGGGAAGGAAGACTCAATTTATTAAACTATTCCTCCTTGAAGCCCACTGTTTTTATTCTACTGCTCTTTTTCTCTTCCTTTTGTGAGAACCCTGACTCACGTCATCGTCACTCTCACTCAGGTTACTTTTCACGTCTATATTCTCTACGTGTTCCATCTCTCTGTCAAAAGTATCTAATTTCTTAACTCATTTCTTTATGTGTTTATCTTCTACATATTTTTACTTTATATATCAGTACATGCCCAGAAAATTCAGAATTTGAACATTTGTTAGCACATGTACTTTTCCCAGCAGTGAGTAGGAAGTTCCTTACTGTACACGACTATGATTACAAAAGGTGAGACCCAGCATTTTTCAATTCCTTTTCTTCTGTTTTCCTGTATTGTTTTTATGTAGCTGTTATTTCCTTTCTCCAGCTTAAAGTCCCGCTGGCTTGTGGAAAGCACATTTGGCTGTTAACTTATTTATTAGGACAACAACAGCCTCTTACTGCTGTATGCTGCAGCAGTCAGGATTCTATTCTTTTTAAGAGTTGTATTTTATTTGCAAGACTAATGGTTTGATATCTTTCTCCTCCAGCTGAGTACCCCAATTGGCTGTGTTCATGACAGGAAATGACACTGCCACAAATCACCAGCTCCAGTATCAAGCGCAGCCACATCTAAGTAGACTGCAATGCAATTTCCAAATATATCACATATATCTAATGTTGCATCTGGTGAATTAAATGCTTAACAGCCCCTACCTCCATAGAGAGCATTGTAAAATTCCATTATAATTGTTTATAATAGATTTACCTTTCTTGCAGTTTGATGGTATCCATGTGGTGAGCGGATCTCTTGACACCTCCATCCGAGTTTGGGATGTGGAGACAGGAAACTGCATTCACACACTCACAGGCCACCAGTCTTTGACGAGTGGAATGGAACTTAAGGACAATATACTCGTGTCTGGAAATGCTGATTCTACAGTCAAAATCTGGGACATTAAAACAGGACAATGTTTACAGACATTGCAAGGTGAGCTTAAACTAACATAATATAAATCAAGCTGCCTGCAGTAATCTGTGCTGCGGACCCTATATAAAACCTTCTAACCATTTCACACAAAGAAACAAACACGGACCATTTACAACTTAAATATCATTTTTCTGATAACAGCTGTATGATCTTCCTCTGAATTAGAGGAATTTCATCTAATCTATTCAAATCACTTGCCTATTATGAAAGGCAGATGGCCTGAACTGAGAGAAATTTGCAGTGAGTGTATTAGCTTAATAAGCCACAGAAATATGTAGGAAATGACATCTCAAAACAGTCAGTCGACGTATTATTTAGGGGTCACTTGGATGTTTCAGAGCCTACTGATTAATTGAATTGGGAGGCAAAGCAAACTGTCTATTGCAATAAATCAAAAGAAAGGAGTGGAAGACGTTTTCACTTTTTCAGTAAGAAAAAAGATTTTGGTTTCCATTTTTACAGTTGCCACTGACGCATCACACACACCAGCATATTATTTTGTTCCCTCTCCAGAAAAAGTCATATATCATATCCAGCAATGCTGGCTGCAGCAGAAAATTAAACTTCGCTGGAAAAGCAGGCTGCTGTTTTAACAGTTTATACGTCTCTATATGTCCCTCAGTACTTACCAGTAGAGTTATCCCATAATAACACTTCAAAGGGACTTGGAGAAAAAACATGCATCGTGCTCACCTCATTCTGCACAGCTAAGTTCATGTTCGTGAATTTCCAAGCTTGCACTTTGCCTGCTGTGCGTATGGAACAAAACAAGATCACTGTAACAAAGAAGTATTGGGGAAATTTCGCTTTTTGAAAACAGAAGGCAAGGTTCTGTACCTTTTAAAGCACAAAAACAGGGATAACACATCTAAGAGAAACAGCTGCACTCAAGTGGATGGGTATTTACGTTACGTGCAGCGCTGTCTGTCACTGCTTTCCCATTAGAAACAAAAATGTTCTGGTTTGCTCTTCTAGGTCCCAACAAACATCAGAGCGCTGTGACCTGTTTACAATTCAACAAGAACTTTGTAATTACCAGCTCAGATGATGGGACTGTAAAACTTTGGGACTTGAAAACGGGTGAATTTATCCGAAATCTAGTTACATTGGAGAGCGGGGGAAGCGGAGGCGTCGTGTGGCGGATCAGAGCTTCCAACACAAAGCTGGTGTGCGCCGTTGGGAGCCGGAACGGGACTGAGGAAACAAAGCTGCTGGTGTTGGACTTTGACGTGGATATGAAGTGAAGGGCAGAAAGATGAATTTATCCAAACCTGTAGACGATGTTCTCCTTTCCCTCCCCTTGGAAAAAAAAAAAAAAAGGAAAAAAAAAAAAAAAAAAAGAAAAGAAAAAAAAGAAAAAAAAAAGAAAAAGGAAAAAAAATCCCTTGTCCTTGGTGGTGCAGGATGTTGGCTTGGGGCAACAGATCCTAAAGACCTACAGACTACGAAGGAGAAGACAACGATAACAAACTCTAACTGACAAGAGAGGCATTTGCTGTCTCGTCACATAAAATGGCAACACCTTCGACCGGGGCAGCTTTGCAAGAACACAACTTCTGAAATGAAACCAGGTGCAATTATTTCTTTACTTTCCTCCAGCTGCTTCTACGAGCAATTTGGAGGTTAAAAAAAAAAAAAAGTTACAGTTCTTGTTACCAGGTTATTTTAGTACAGAGATCCTTAAGGAAGCTGCACAAGCACGCCTGCTGGTACCCCTGGCCGTCAGCAAGGCGCTCTCCCGGCCCCGCTCTGAGCAGGGTCCCTCCCAGCCTCCGTGAGCGGCCGCCAGCTGACTTCAAAAACCAGAGAGCTTCTGCAATGAAACCAACTGCAAAACAAAGAGAGTCCATTCCTGGTGTGGAAAAGCTAAAATAGTACTGTGAATTGTTTTGTGCAGTTTTATCAGAGCTTTTTCTTTTTTTTTCTTTTCTTCCTTTTTTTGCCAACCATTGCCAACGTCAATCACAGTATTAGCCTCTGTTTAATCTACTTACCGTTGCTTCCATCTACACTCTTCAATGCATAAGTTGCTCTGAGGTGGCAAGTTGTCCTGGGTTCTGAGAGTCCTCTGATGGATTTAATTCGCAACGCTGGTGCTAGAAGTAGGTCTTCAATTACGGGATTGTTTTCCCACCCCTGTACTGTATTCCCAGTGGCCAAACTTATTTATGCTGCTAAATGAAAGAAAGAAAAAGCAAATTATTTTTTGTTATTTTTTTTTCTGCTGTGACGTTTTAGTCCCAGACTGAATTCCAAATTTGCTCTAGTTTGGTTACAGAAAAAGACTTTTTGCCACTGAAACTTGAGCCAACTGTGCCTCTAAGAGGCTGAGAGTGGAAGAGTTTCAGACAATTAAAGAGTGAAGTTTGCCTGCAAATAAAGAATTGAGTGTGTGTGCAAAGCTTATTTTCTTTTTTTCTGGGCAAAAATTAAAACACATTCCTTAGAACAAAGCTATTGCAGCCTGTTCTGTGGGGAAATTTTTTCTTTGTGAGGGCTGTGGTGAATGGAATGAACATTAAAAAAATTTTAAAAAGTTGACAAAATTTTTAAAAAAGATTATAAAATACAAAAATGAAAGTAAACTTGCTGGTCAGTCTTAGTGTTTTACAGTATTTGAGAAAAAAAAAAAACAACTGTTACAGTTATTGCTGGGAGGAACTGACAGAGCAAAAACTTAGGTTTTTGTAAAGATGTCACATGCAAACAAAATGAGAAATGAAAGAGTCAAACAGTTTGCCTCATTCTCCAAGAGCCACAACTCAAGCTGAACTGTGAAAGTGGTTTAACACTGTATCCTAGGCGATCTTTTCTCCTCCTTTTGTTTTGTTTTGTTTTGTTTTATTTATAGTCTGATTTAAAACAATCAGATTCCAGTTGGTTAATTTTAGTTATGTAACAACCTGACAAGATGGAGGAAAACAACGTTTAAAGGGACTGTGTCTATGGTTTGATTCACTTAGAAATTTTATTTTCTTATAACTTAAGTGCAATAAAATGTGTTTTTTCATGTTAGTCTGTCTTGCTTTTTCTCTTTCTCGCAGTTACTTTAATGCCACATCGCCTGTGACCCCTAAAGCTCAGCCAAGCACCACAGCTGGCCACAGACGTCAGTGTGAGCATCCCTGCTGCTGGTACAGTGTGGGATTGGCCTCCAAGAAGCTGGCGGTAAAGCCAGGGCCTTCCCATTGCCAGGGGCTGGCCAGGACTGGACTTTGGGGGGAGGGAGGTATAAAAAGCTGCTCACGTACATAAGAGCTATCTCAATAGCATCCTGTTACTGCAGCTTAAATTGAAACCTGGTTATTATTTATGGATTTCAATCAATTGATTGCAGTCTTAACAGCAGAAAACACATCCACAAATGCAACTAAAGTCAAAGCGAGGATTGCAGTAGAGCTTGAAACAAGGACAGTGACACAAACCCCACAGCGTTCAAGATCAGCCCGGTGGCAGTACTTTCAGAAGCTGTGCTAAGTCATCAGCTCTTAGAAACCTAACAGCTGAGCGTCCCTTTCTCTTTAAAACTCCCAGACCAAAATCCCTGTTTGGGACATACAATTTTCCTTTCCCTACAGAAAACTGCCATTAAAAAAAAAAAAAAAAAGTATATGCATGGAAGAGAAAAATATACATCAAATCATGAAATGTCTATCTGCTTACTCAAATGTAGTTGCAATTCCCACATTATGCAAAACAAATAATGACGAAGGAGCGCACTTCCATCTGGCCTCTAGAGATTAAAAAGCCATACAGCATCACTGAGCAGCCACAGATTGTAAATATCTGTTCAGGGAGTTGGTGTTCAAGAAAAAAACAATTGCAGCAAGCCCTGACACAACCAAACTATGATCATCCAAGTTTTTATGTAAAAACAACAAAAGAGCTCATCCTCTCAGCCAGGAGGGCAGTGTATGGATAGCCAGAACTTCAGGGAGCGGCTCAGGCTGCTCAGGCTCAGTGCACCTTTTGGGCTGAGAGAAGTGCTTGGCCCTGTGCAGGTCCTGAGCTGGGCACTTTGCTCTGCTGAGCAAGCAGGCAGGGCTCCCCACCTGGGAATGGGGCATCAGCCTGGGCTGAACTACTCGTGGCAGTAAGTAAGGGGAAATACAAAACGTTACTGCAGGGAACCGAGCAATAGCTTTTAAGATTGTGTAATTGTCTTCTACGATTTGTAAAAATTGCAACAACATGTTTTCAAAGAGCAAAGGCAGTTGCTTACCTGCACAGGAGGACGAGAAGTTTCTGAATAACGTTACGCTGGAGGGCAGGAATACAAATCAGGGCAGAAAAATGACTGAAGAGGAAGAACAGCATCCAGACAGGCTCAAGCTGTGTGTAAGTACACTTTAAGCAGCCAATATGAGCAGGATCAAAATGAACTTAACCAGAATCCAGAGTTCTTCCAGGTAATAGAGCAGTTCCAACACTACCTTAAGTTCAAATCAATGCAGACCAGCTTGAACCTGTTGAACAAACCACATTTAGAGCTTCTGTCATCCCACATGCAGATTAAAAACCCCTGTATTGCCTTCAAAGTCAATATGTCGCATGTTAAATACAGAAATCAGCACAGTGCAGTTTAAAAGGCTTTTCCCCTTCGATAAAAAAACTGTGAAGCAAATTGCGATAGCACTGTGAAGTCTTCTGTTTTGCCACACAGTTGGCTTAGGTTCATAGGCATTCATGTTGCTTACAAGGCACACAAACAATGTCACTCAATAAGCAGAAATTTGTTAAATTATTCAAGTGACAGCATTTCCAAATGGGCCTGTAGCAAATATGTCATTTGTAAGGAAGCATTTGAGCAGTTTTTCTTTATGGTTCCCTTATTTATGGCATATTGTCTTCATTTGGTGTGATTCGATTTTTTGGGTGGGTAATTTGTTTCCAATAAAAGTATTTGTGAGTACTGGTGTAAGACTGGAACTGCTTCAGGCTCTCAGTATGCATGCACTTCTTGAATCTAGTGGCTTATTCATTGTGGATTATAGCATAATGGTATCTGCAGCTATCCTGGAGAGATAATTGTGTGAGCTTCTGGAGCCTTAGCCCTTGTTTTGATACTGATTCCTTTATTTCTTTCTGCTTTAGCTCCAGAAAGAGCTTCCTCATTTTCTACTGTGTCTGAAGCCAAGACAACAACACTAAAAGATGAGATTTTTTAAATAAATATTATTCTTTTTTGGGCCTTGATTTTAGCTAGCAGTGATTAAGTCAGAACTAGCACTTCCAACCTCCTCTAAGATGCTGTTCCCGTGGTCTCACATATGCATTTACTTGGTCAGGAGCTAAAACCTGATGTTTCACACCTGCATCTACACCAGCCTGTAGCAGAGCTCTGTGAGCCTTTGTGATTCCTTCGGGGTATGAGCAGCAGCTCCTGATTAAACACCTCTAAAATACACGCCTGTGGACATTCGGTCTTTGGGACCAACAGAGTGGTGCTACAGCTGGGCTTCTGCTCACACCTCTAATGGCTGGTAAGGGCATAACCCAGACCTCAACCAAACGGGCCTCCAACAACCCTCTCCTGCAGCACTCATGGCTCCTGATAAGCAGCCAGATCTCATCCAAACATCAGGAACAGAAAAACAGAATGCAGCAGCCAGCACTACGGAGGTTTTGCCAAAGATAAAAGGGCAAATGCCTTCATCTGTCTTTCAGCATGCTTTCTGGGGAGTTTGTTCTGATCTGCTCATGGAATCCAGTTTAAAATATCATCTCTCACTGTCTGGCCAAAATGTTCTACTGGGAAGTCAGCACCTGAATCACTCACAAAAGGAAATCATTACATTCCGCAAAGAGAGAGGCTAAAGATCCAGACTGTTAAAAGCCATGAGAAAAATGACTTGAGTCACTCTGACCAAACAACTGGGAATTACTTGAAGGGCAATATCCAGCTATGCTGACCGCTGAATCCTTAATGCGAGTGGGAATATTATCTTTCCATCTCCTGGTATTTTACCAAAAGCCTTTCTCCCTCACTTTGATGCTGTGCAAAGGCACACCTGTTGTGTGACTGTGATAAGTATTTGATGAAGCTTGACTATACACCATAAATATACAATATATATTAGGTTGTTCAACTTTTCTTCTGAAATCTGCATATATTCAAACATCTTCCAGTGATGTGTTTCTTTAATCATCACTGCAGATTTGTGAATAACTGTTCTAACGGAAAAGCTGTTTCGAGTCCCTTCTGCAACAGTCTGACCAAACCAGCTGTCCCCTGAAATCCAGCAGCCATTTCAGGCTCCCTGATCGGCTTGCCAAATGGCCTAGTAGCTCCAGGAGTACTTCAGATAAAAGGAATGGTGCATTGTGCTACCACAGTGCACACTGCTGAGTGAAACGCCGCAGCACTCTGCGACTGCAGCCGCCTACAATCCAATGGCTTTATGCCCACATACATACTGCACTGCTCTAGCCCAGGCAGGGCAGGAGAGTCCTCCAAAATCATGACTAAGCATCATCTGGCTAGAACACAATCTCCCACTAACCAGAGGTGGCAGAACTCATTAATCACAGAGCTTTCCACACAAGAGCCAGGCAGCACAGAAGAATCCAGTGGTGTTTTTAAATGACACACTGTACAGGACAACAGAGGGTAAGCAGACTTGGCCTTAGCCAAAGGCATCCTCCAGCTCTCCTTTGTCCTCACCCCTGCCTTGCTCAGATCCAGCATCATCCACCTGATCTCTGTTCACAAGCTGGTTTGTCACAACCCTACACAGCAGCAGTGATTTTGGTAAAAGAAAATGAGTAATTTGCCCTCTGCATCTCTCTTTGCTGCAGAAGTCAGCTCTGAACTTTCTGCAATGCTTTGTGCAGGGACAGCATGATCTCAGCCTAACACTAAATGCTTCAAGGGAGTCCACGAAGATGAGAATGCATTGTTAGGAGAGAAACATTTGTCATCAGCAGTGCTGAAAAGATTTCCACCTTGAGACTAGACTGAAAGTAATCTTCTAGGCCTGGTGCAATCAGACAAGCTTCAAGTTGATTTCGATTCCTTAATTTTTCAAACACAAAGCCACAAACCTCATCTGGCCGGGTGCCTCCATGACTGCAAAACAGGCACATTCCGTAAGCAGGATTGTGAGTCTTGCTGCCTTGAACCTGAGAGCTCGTGATCTGTAGACAGGGAACAAACATGGAAGGTCTGTGTAAGCTGGATCAGAAGTGACCTATGAAAAACAGAGAAAGACAGGGGCAATGAATTAGGGGCTTCTGTCAAAAAAAGTCATCAATGCAAGCTCTACAACAACTGGCTATTTCAACATCCTCATCAAAGCTCAGGCGTGAGCATTCTTTATGAAGCACTCATTCTGGCTGGCCTGTAGTCGAGAACACAACCAACCCAGTTAGCTCTGACTTGCACAGACTTCTCATGCCCGGGGCGGGCTGTTTGATGGGCAGGGGAACGCCTGCCTCGCTGCGCCAGCCAGCTGGGGTGCAGGTTTCACACGGTGCTTGCGGTGCGTTATCCGAGAACGCTTTGTTCTTTTAATTTAAAACAGGAAACAAGGAATGCAGAAGATCCAAAAACTTCAAAGGCAGTTTCCATTGCCAAAGGAGCTGCGTTTTGACTCCGTTCAGCCTCCAGATTAAATATTCAAATCTGACAGTGTGGGAAGATGCTTACGCCTTCAAGAGGCTCAAAGATTCCTAAGGAATTGAGGCATTCAGATCAGTTGGCTGTAAATTTCAGTGTGGTAAGCTAAGCAGTAGAAGTGTTCCTAAAAGGTAGTTTTATTTTGAGCTTCTTGGTTTAAAATGAATTTCTAATAATACCACAGCTTTGCAGACACATACGCAACATAAAGTATGTTCCCTTTACCATGATACACAGAAGATCTGAGTAGAACATTTCCCTCTGTTTTCAAACCCCCATTTGCTTTTAGGTTTCCTGTTACATTTAAGTGCTGAATTTGAATGCTCATGTTATAGTTCTGAAAAATGAAGAAGTCAAAAACTGCACACTAGAAGGACTCCAAAGTTTTTCCCTCAGACTGTTTAATGCTACCTGTCTGCTTTGGCATACCTCCTGTCAATTCTCAGCTTAAGGAGTCAGTGTTTCTGTTACACGCTGCACACGTTTTCCCAAACATTGAAGATTTGTAGAAATGTTATACTGCTGTCCCCAGTGGAAAAGTTTCTTGATGTTTTTCTGCTGGTGTTAGCAATGCACATTTAGCACATACTTTGGGCATGCCCTGGATGCCCTCTGCACTATCCTGCTGACTACTGCCACGCTTGTGATATCCCATTTCATCCAGACCAACACAGCAGCACAATGTTCCTGGTGCCCATTCTTCCATCCCACACAATTTGCTATTACATTTCAAGAGCAGATAACTGATCTGCCCGGGTTCACCTGTCACCAGCAGCTAGCAGATCTCCCTGCACTTCACTTTTGACCAAAAGGCAGAACAAGAACCTGGGGCAAAGGAGCAGTAAGATGGAGGAATGCCCCCAGATGTGAGACAGCCATTAATGCAGCCATCTGTTTGTGTGCCTAAATGGGATACAGCCCCACTAAGCCCACAGATCTCCAACTGCAGTTCAGAAAGTCAGCATTACGACTTCTTTTTAAGAGGTATTTTATAAAGGTTTCAAGTATGCATTTGTTTCTAAATAAATACGTTCACATCTTGAAACTCCTCTTGCTTTACATACTTAAAAATAAACAATAAAATCTTGCGACAAACTGTTTTCCTCTGCTTTGTTCCCTCATTTTCTCTTTTCTTTGGCACTTGCACTTCAGTTTCCCTGCGTTTTGCTTCCTCCTTTGTCCTCTCCCTGTGCTTTTCCTTTCATGCTTTACCATTCGTGTCCCATTTTTCAAATTTTTATCCCTTCCTCATCTTTCCCCACTCCCAGCCCTTCTCCTTCATTAAAGCTGTCACAGCCAGCTTCTCCCTCCTGCTTCCACCCAAAATCTGAGCTGGCACATTGGAGTCTTTTTCACACCACTCTACAGATGTAAGATGCACAGGAGATAGATAAGACTGATGGGAAGCAAATGCAGAGCTTCCCATCCCAGAGCTTTAAATAAAAAAAAAAAAAAAAAAAATCATTTATCTGCTTTAGCATTAAAGACCTAATGTTCCTCTTTCCACAGCCCAGAGACAACCCACGTGGTCCAGCAACACTGGGATCAGGCCCTCTGAGCATGGCCCGGTTTACCATTAATTTCACAAACAACCGAGCAACAAGGATTGCCCAATTCAATCCTCGTTAAGCAAAATGTATTAGCTCTCATTAAAACAAAAACATGTATTATCTTGCTCCTTTGGAAATCTAATGTGTAAAGGCATTTTTGAAAGCATTCCTCACTAGCAAACATGCGTGATTTCCGTATACCTGCAGAATTTGGAAGATACATTTGGTAAAAAGTCTCCAAGGCAAGTACAGAAGCTATCATCCCAACAAGTGCCCCTTTGTCTCATAAAGCCATGTAGAAATAAGGATTGGAAGCTGCAAACAAAGCCATGTTCTGAACTCGACAGCAGTGGCGGATTTTCCTTCTGGTGGTACCACGGCAGCACAGCTGGGGCAGCGCGGTCTGTCAGGGCACGTTAGCAATCATACACAAAGCACATCTAAAGCAATCTAGCACACATTTCTCACTAATTCTTAATACACAATGACAGCGTAGGCAACAAAAGCTCCACGGCCAGCGTAGGATGTGGCCACGCACTGGGTAACCTGCTGGTGAAATTTAGCTGTGTTACACTGTATATCCTGCTGAAAAAAGCCAAGGATGTGCAGCACCTCTCTGAGGTTTGGTTTCTGCATAGTGTCCAAGCCAGCATAACTTAATCCAAAGAGATCAACAACTGGTAAGAAGGACACAAACTGTCCAAAGCAACAAAGACTCATGTAAGACATGCTGGTCTTTGCAGGACAGAAGGCAGTGAAACCTATCAAACACTCACACCATAACAGCAACAAACCAAACAAAGCTCAAATCCAAATCCACACAGCTTTCATCTCCCTGTTTCATTTCAGCCTAATAACAGCGCTACCAACTGCAGGTGACCTCTCCTTCTTCCAAATGCATGCCCACCCCTATCCAGCATGAGCTCAGTGCACACTGTACTCACAGACTGTATGAAGAAAGGTAAGAAGGATTTACCATACACTTTGTTTTTATTTTTGCTAATTTTATTCAAGCATTTTGCTTTTATTTCCACTGTTTCACAAACAGGCAGAACAGCCACTGCCACGTTTCTCCATAGCTAGAACAAAGCCAGCAATACATTGATATTGCTGCTCATCCTTTCAGGGCTGCAGAATCACCGCATCAGGGAAAATAAGTCAGAATTAGGCAGAGGTTCAAAGCCCAAAAAGCACAGCATGTGAGCAGTGCTGTGTCCTGAACTCCTGAGAGAAGGAGCTGACCCCACTGACAGCTCGTATGGGAACTGCTGAATCACGTCCTGAACCTCTGATTGATCACCTGAGGCAAGCAACCAGGCAGCCCTGGGAGCACAGGTGAAGGCAATTCAGCTGTGCTGCCAGAAGGGGTGGAGCCTGGCTGCACCTCTCTAGACCCATCTAGGAGCTGACCACCAGTGGAGAAGGATGTCTTCTGGAGATTCATTCTGCTGGAGTTTCATAAGCAAGTCCAGGATATGGGTAAGCATCCTATCTGTTCTCTTTTTGTTGTTATAACCTACTTTGCCAAACTCTCTTGTTTATTTCATAATTATAACATCTTAATATTCATTGATTATACACAGCTTTACCCTACACAGCCACAGCCACCACATTGCACACAGCAGCAGCTAAAGCAGCAGTGAAGGCAACAGGAGCTTTCCCACAGACAGAAGGAGTGTATCAGACAAGAAAAACCCATGTGTCTATTACTTTGTGCTCTTAGAGGCCCCACAAATTCCTCCCCTTGTGATACCTGACTAATCTGACAGCACATGACAAATGAAGCTGCTCTGACAGGAAGACAAGAGTTCCCCTCTCCTTTGACCCTCCAAACAACTTCTGCTCTCTTAATTAACACTTGATGCAGCCCTCTATGCTCACAGCTGAAGCTCCATCAGCAGGACGGAAGGGCCCCCCTCCAATACCAGTGGGCACACAGACTGGTTGCAGCCACCTCCTGCCACCACCCATGGCTGTATACTGAAGATAAAAAGATATCTTTCTCCATAGCTCTTCTCTAAAAATTCAGAATAGTGTCCTTAAAAATTGTTCTTTCTGTCCAATTTGTGATTTAGGTAAAAGCAATTTAGGTGAGACAAAAGAGACTGCTTCACAAGACATACCATTCTTTTAGCTCTGTGATAAAAAGGAATCACATCTCAGGCATAAACGCAACAAAATGACAGTGCCAATACTTCGCACCTAGCCCAAATGCACACCGCTTACATTTTAAGATTCTTCTCCTGCACCCAGATAAGAGGCACAGAGACAACAGACTGTGAAGCTCACGTGGTATTTTTCTCTTTCAGGAAAAATAGCCATTTCTGCCTGTCCTTCCCACGAAATGCAAAGGCCTACTCAGTGCAACCCTTGTCTCTCTTTCCCTCAGATGAGGATTACATTTTTGCAGTGCCCTCGGAGAGCCGTGGATGTCTTTGAGAGCCACTCCAGTTTGGAGGCCCACTCCAGTTTGGAGGCCCGCTCCGGGGGGGAAGCAGCATCTTTTGAGATCAGTGTTTGGTAGTGAGAGCGTCTTCCTGCCTACATTTCCATCTCACATGTTCTCAGACATTTTCCGGCATCCACCCAATGTGCACTGAGCAGTGAGAAATTGAGAGTTCAAGCAAATGATATAGAGGAATGGATAATTAGCCCCTAGGAATGCATCTAGCTACAGTTAGACTCCATGAAGGTTAGAGACCCAATTCCACCTCAATTAAATGTGATACTGAAGAAATTTATAGGGCTTTATTCAAGCTACTAATTTCTCAGTTTTACTGAAAACAATTTACAATCAAATGAAGTGAAAGCTAGAAGCAAAGTGTACATTAATTACTTAATTTTCCTTTTGCGTTTCTCTTCATTTTATCTTTCAGTGAAGACGCATCTTAAAATTAGGATAATATGCCAGTAAATATTATACATTTTTTTTCTTTTAGTTATTACTGCATAAAAGCTGAATCGCTTCTATGAACTTCAGTGTTGCCTTCTACCGAGGACAGTGTTGTATCACCAATCTGCAGCACCAGCAAATGGGAGAATTTCACCACTTCCCGGGCTGAAAACACATACGATAACAAAGCAGTCCAAAAGATACCACAATATCTGAAGAGAAAAATCTAGTTGCTGGGCTAGCAACATGCAGTCTGTGAATGGCACAGCCACGTGTGTGCACTATGAGATGCGACTTGGGAACACAGTAACAACTCTGTCAAAAAGGAAACATGAATGGCAAAGCGGCTTTTTGCAACACTCCACTGGAGCTTTGGCAACACTGCGAGAGATGGAGGTGAGGCTAAATAAGTGAGCCTGCGGGTCATTCACCCTTATACAGAAAGAGCAAAGGGACCGTGAACTGCCGCTGAGGTTAGCAGCACCATTAGGAAGGGCTGTGCGAGGCGCGTGCCCCCGACCTCCCAAGTGGCAGCGCTGAGGGATGCAGAGCAGCGGCTCGCTTGCTCTCGCCTCAGAACGTTTGGCAAAGGCAGGGAGCGAAACGCAACCGCAGCTTCATATCAGCCCTACAGCTGCTTCATGGAGGTCGGTCCTCCAGCACAAGGCAGAGCAGCAGGAAGATACCAAATGCCAACAGCCCAGGGCTATGGCAGCTTGTCTACGAGTGCAGAAATTACCCAGGTACTCTTCCAGTCTTCCCATCCTCACAAGTGCCTCCAAATGCAGAGCCATTAGCCTAAAAGCTTTCCACTACCTAATAAATATTTCAATTGTTTATCTACGCTAATCTATTTTAAGGGTTCATATTAACTAACCTATATTTTGGCACTAGAGCAAAGCAAAAAGCTTTCAGAAATTGCCTGTGAACAGTGTTGGTGAAAAATAAATTTGCCAATGGCTTTGGCAATACAATGCCAAATGAGAGATTAGGCTAAATAGGGGAGGCATAAGTGAAAGATGAACTGAGATGGGCAAGGAGAGAACCACAGTAGGACTGTTCATTCGGTGCTCATCACCTTAACGTGGGAAAAACAAACAAGGATTCACAGGGCAGGCACCCAAAGACCCCGAGAGACCTAAAACACAGAGAAGATGGAAAAGCTTTACATAAGATCTACAAATATTTGAAGGGTGTGAAGACAGGAATTTTGCGGGTTCAAATAAAGAGAAAAATCTAAACAGCAGGAATAAATTTAAGAAATAACAGACCAAGGGGATAAAGATGTTTCATAGTAAAATCTGATAGGCAATGAGATGGTTTCTCAAAGCAAGAAGCTGAAGTTTTAAAAACCTTATTTTTAAAGTTATTTTAAAGGTGCATCAGAAAAACTACCCAAATAACTTTGAAAAGATGAAAAACATGCAAAGCTGTAAATCATGGAGAATAGAAGCACACAAGCCATTAAAGATTAGACGTCAGCAAGGAAATCTCTCACTGATTATATACTAAGAGACAGCAACGCTGGTCTAAAGCTTTTCCCACTTGTAGTATGCATTTCTGCTTCCTTTCCCCAACAAGCCAATATTGACTATTTCCCCCATGCAGCAAAGTGGGACATGTTCTAGCAACGTGCAATTACTCTCTGGAATGCAAACAGTACTTCTGACACACACGGCAGTAATCTCAACAGTGGCCTCTAATGGAAGTTGTCTGCTTATTCCCATTTCCACTGGGACAGCAGCCTGTGATGCTGCTTGAATGTCAGTCTGGGCTAGACTGTACCCATGAGACTCAAGAATTGTTCAGCGTGCTGAGAAAGTCATTTTAAGAAACATAAGTTCTTTATCCCTACTTGACTCCACGCCAAGGGAGTCACACAAAAACCTCGGGATGTTTCACTGCTATAGATTACGTAACAGCTACTTTTCTGAAACCTCATTTACAATTCTCAGTTGTTCAAAAAAACAGCAGCAAAACCCTGCTGATAATTAGCAAATCTTCCCTCTGGTAATCAAGAAACTGAAAAAACCTAACAAGCTTTCTCAGATTCTTTATTTCTTTCCCTACAAATGCAGAACTGTTGCACTCCAAGCAAATTTGTTTTTTCTTTGTTTCTTATGTAACGGTGTAGTCAGACCTGTTCCTTCCTGAACCTCTGTCCTATGCCATTAGTAACAGCTCTCCGCTGTTCTAAGTACCAACCTCCTTTAATCCCTTAATTAATTTAACCACATTCTAAATAGCACTTAGATCTCTTTTGGGACTCCAAGATACATGCTTTATTAGGACAACCCCACACAAAGTGCACTTTCTAAGCCCATGACATCCACGTTACACTCATTCCCCAGTAGCTTCAAGGCTGCTGGCTTTTCTGCTGGGAGGCAAAAATCACAACCTTCTCTAGTTTCTCTGGCGATACCGAGGGCTGAAAAAGGACCAGATCACCCAGATCACCTCTCATGACTCCTTCTTGGAAGAGAAGTCATAGGTCTAGTGACACTGAAGTCTCCAAGAGGCTGTACAAAAAGCTGTCCTCTTTTTTTTTCCTCCTAATGGAAGTCTGAGAGGTTTCTGTGAAGTAAGCAAGTGCCCCTTACAGAATATAGCCAGAAGTTCTCAGCCAAACACCTCCAAGTGCTTTAAAGAAATACTACTATCGTTACCCTCATTTTGCAGCTAGAAAAGCAAAAGCATGAAAAGGTAATGCCAACCTCAGCATCATCAGTTCAGCTATGATTTCCTGACATTGTTCACTGAGACACAAATCCATTCTTTATCCAGATTTATTTAACACATAATGAAATGGATTCCAGAGAACTTCGCCTTGCTTTATGTAGAAGAAACATAAAAATTCATATAACATTGGTTTTGTCTGTGCAAAATTCAAGATTATATGCCCTGATCTCCCTACTCTCTATATAGCTTCAGAAGGAGAGTGGTTAGAGAGAAAAACTGAGTCTAGAAAAATGAAGGGCATTACTTTTGCCTCACTCAACATAACCATACTGCAAATTCTAGAGTGATACTCTTGACCTAACTGAGGGGCAAGATTTTTACCTCTTAGTATGTGGTAAAGGGAAGGAAAACACATCACTTTCTAGAGGCATGTTAAAGAAGTACAGCATTCGAATGAAAGAAAAGTGAAGTCAAAGAATATTTAATGTAAACTTGGTGAGCTCATTTCCCAGATGAGCTAGATATCTGCTGAGCTTGCCTTAAAGGGCAAAAAGCAAAGATGGCTTCACCTCCTAAATGTGGCCTGGGGCACAGTTAGGATGATTTACTTTAAGACAGTTTAAATGCTCTTGGCTTATTCAGAGTGGAGATCACGTCTCCTGACAGCCAAAGATACTGAGGCACGGGGGCTAGGTCAGAACCTGGTTTCATATCTCTGGAATAAAATAGAAAAAGTACATCACAAACAGCAGACAAGGACAACATCCTTCATCTTAAAAACTATCAAAGAACAGCTTTGTTAGGTAGCAGGAGGGCAATAATAGTAATTAAAAATAACACATTAACTGAAAGGTTGAAAAATCATTCTATGCTATCTGACACCTACAATCCAATAATTACAAGCAAGCATGTCAAAAGGGTCAGCCAGCTATAAGCAATGGGAACAACCCTGTGAGAGAGAAGTGTCCTCAAGAATTTATAGAAGAAGACAGCGTTACCTAAAGACAGAGAGGCAGTTATACAGAGAAGAACGAACAGAGAGAATCAGATTTCAGGGCACCTATCTGTAATTGGCGAGGTTGGGAATAACAATGATTTAATCTACAGGCATGGACTGGATAGCAAGGTGATTTGTAACAGTCATCACAAACGACATCAATCCAAACATTATTAGAAAACCTACTGATGATGCCCTAACCTACCTCAGGCAATATTTTTGTAGAGAATCAAGGGGAATATGAGCAACATAAAGCCACCACCAGCTGAAAAACTGTATTTCAAAGATAGCTATCCCTAGCTTCTTGTCTTACTGAGACGCATAGAATGCAACCATTTCATCAATGCCTTGGATGATGCAATGCTCTTGCTGTGCTTGCAGATCACATCAAGTTGGAAAGGTCAAAAAGTGCTGGAGAACAGGATTAGAATTCCAGAGAATTCTAAGAAAATGGAGAAGTAGTCTGAAATAAATAGGATATGCCTTGGTAAGGACAAATGCTAAGCGTAATACTTCAGATCTTGTCAGCTGGCTGAAGGTCAGAACAATCAACTTCACAAATACTGGATGCAAAATCACTGGCTGGGAGACAGAAAAGGACCTGGGGGACTAAAACAGCTCAGGAATCAAACATCAATCAGCACTGTCACACAGCTAAAAGAAGAAAAATAAAAACCAAAACATTACAGTGCTAAGTGCTATCAAAGCCTCCTCTAAGTAGTTTGTTCAGTTCAGGACTCTGTATTTCATAAAATCTACAGAATGCACACCATTTAGAGTTTACAGGAGACAGGAAGGACAGAGTCCAGCCAGAAGGACCTTTGAGCTAATACAAAGAATGAGAGGTGCTCCATCTGGGAAAGGGAGAAACTGAGAAAGAAGCTAACATGTAAATAACATAATGAAGAAGCATTGCTGCGAAGAGGAAGAAGTAAAAATGTCCTCTGTGCTCGGGGCTAAAAGAAAACTAACTGTGAATTAAATACGCTGCTTAGAGATCTTGCTTAATTTCTATCAAGGAAATCTCTTAAAAAAGGTTAAATGAACACTTAGAAGCGATATTTCAGGTAAAGTTGAACTGTCCTGGAAATGGAGACTAAAAAAATAATCTCTCTATTACATTACTTTTATGATAGGTCCTATATTTTAGAATGCTGCATATGATTCTCTGGGCCTATCCATCTTTTACAAATGGCTATTTTCAAAGTGTTTTCTTTGAAAACACAATTTTCTTAGCTCTGGTTATAATATCCCCATCATTTCTATGTACAGAAGCAGATACATTATAACTTTGCACTGCAGACTTGCACATTTGAAGAGTATGCACTATTCATGACACTATCCTGGCTTAGTAAGGCATGGAGCCAACAATACTATGAGAGTTAGGATGAGAGAGATAGGAAGGAACAGTCAGCAGTGCCTGGGGAGGGCTGGGAATGCAGACTGGGAAAAGGAAGAAAGAGGAAGAAAGAAGGAGGAAAAAACAATCTAACAAATAAATAAATAAAAAGGAAAACCAGAACTACAGTATATTCGTCTACAATTTTTCCTTTTAAACAAGAAGAATAACATTGTAAAGAAGACTTCGGGTGCTGCAGGAAGATAATGCAACATCCTTAGCAACAAGGGATGGAAAAAACAATACAGGTGCATCAGTTTGTTTAAAAAGGGAAAGGGGAGTTAGAGAAATGGTTAGTAAGGGCAGCAAAGAAAGGAAGGGCACAAAGAAGTGAAATGAGGTGAAAGTGGTCCCTTCAGCTTTTACTCTGTACACTGAAGGGGCATGATAAAAAATATCCTAGAAACTGATGCTAACACTTACACTGCCACAACAGCCAAAGTACTGCAGTTGCTAAGCTGGAAACAGAATACAAGGCATTCACTGTTCTTTTGCTGTTTCACTTAGTAAACAACAGCTACTGCCTTATCTACCTACCATTTTCACCATACTGCTCCACTGTTGCAAGGTCCTACCAATGCTACCTTTATTCTAAAGGAACAGAAAGGGATTCAGGCAGTTCCTATCGGTTATAGCACTGTATTAGTAAAATCAGTGAAAGTTTATTTGATACACACGAAGGATCAGCAGGCTCAGTAGCCTACTCTGTGCTACAACTTCTGCCACTCTGCTTCTTCCTAAGCACTGAATGTAGATATTATAGGAAGGCACCACAAAATAACCTGAGATGAGTAGATAGAGAAAAGCATTTTTCCAAACTAATATATATATTTTTTTTGCCTGATGTAGTAATACAGAAATTAAGTTGGTATTTTTCTGCCTGTTTAAATTTGCAACTCTGCAACAGATGGAACAGAATAGTTGTAGCTGTAGGCCAAACTCTGAGAAATATTTTAGCGATGGAGGCAATAATAATGATCACAAATGGGAAAATGAAGCAAAAGTTCAAATTTAACTCATCAATATATTATTCTCCTTTTTACCACAGAAGACTTGGCAATAGCTGCTCTCCGCCTGTGATCCTTTCTGACTGCAGCCAAAGACTCAGCATGAGACTTCCAAAAGTCATCTAAAGGACTTCCGAGCATAACTGCGCAGGAATTCTCATGTTTCTACTTCAT